AGTGCCTTTATATCTATGTAAAGAGTGCCCTAAAAGTGTATTCCACCGCATAAACATGGTAAAGGGTGCCCTTAAAGTGTAGCCAATCCACTAAGAGTGCCCTCTGAGAAAAATTACCCTGCCCTTTTCAAAAGCTGCAGGAAACACTACATATGCAAGTATATCTATACTTAACCTGACAACCTAATAATTACATAAAGCAATACATGCATACAAGTTTTTCAGTTCACCCTTGAGATACAGTAGTGTTGGTGAAGTAAATTTATTCAGAATTTTGAATCAACGATCAGACTTTATGATTTTATTACATGTTATTATAATTTTCAATACTGCCATTAGACATTAATAAATCACCATGATCATGATGATCACAATTCAATTGTTTAGTTCACTTAGTTCTGAACTGAAGTTCTGAACATGTGGTATTTTAATTATCATCCTTCTTCTTAAGATGTCAATAACAAGGACTTCCTCTCTAGTTAATGAATCCATGTTCAATAGTAAGACACGTCCCCACTTGTTATGTTCTATATTCTCAAAATAAAATGATTAACAGGGAAGTTCAATGAAATAAAATTTAAATTTTAGTTATTTTTATATTACGATATACCATTTCAATTGATTTAAAAATAAGTTTTGTTCCATATGATATGCATGACAGCCATGACTATTATATTGAATTGTAGAAAAGCAGGCTTAAAATTAGCCTGACTCATAAATGAACAAGTAAAGCTATTTTTTTACAATTGACAAAATCATAAATTAAAGCACATGATTTTTTAATATTTTAAATGAAATGTTTTGCCTTCATTGCATCATTAAATTTCACACTATTTCTATACTGCTTATTGGTTAAATCTAAAGTACACTTTTGTAAAAAAAATTTGCCTAAATAGATCTCAAAACTTTAATGACAATTAACTAAATCAGCAGCCAAACACTCTAAAATACTGAAGATAATGTAAATACTAAATGTAACACCATGTTTAATGTGACAGGTAAAATGAGAATAAATTAATAATCAGTTTATTTTTTTTTCATGGTAAAAGAAGATCCAGAATGACCTAGATCTGGTTTGTGGATATTGAGGGACAAGATAGGTGGATTTGTATATATGGTAATGATTATGTAAATGAAGGAAGTCGTCATTGGTTTGTAAGTGAATCAACAGCTTAATAACAGAATTAATCAATAAGTAACATGCTACAAATGTATATATATACTGTAATCCTCATCAATAAGAAAGCTTCTGCAGCAAAAAAAAAATTGTGAGAGGTTCTACAAAAAAGTATCTCCACATTATTCAATCCACCAAAAAGACCTAGTTCTACATAAATTGCTTTACACAACAGAAATTATGAATACAATGTATTATGCACTTGGTAATAGACTTTAAGGGACCACAGGCTCAATACACATGAACTCATTATGAACATCATAACTTGTACATTTAAAATGTATATACGTTTGTACATGTTGTAGAAATTACCAACCCAATATAGCCACTTCAATCAAATATTTCTGGTCTGAGAAGGATACCCTCAAGGATACACAATATGTCAGTGTGTTAAAAGTATCACAAACCTTTATGAACTCTAGAAAGATCCCTAAAAACTAGACTGGAGACCTTAACAAGTCACTGGATGTCCTCTATCTTAAAAGTTTAAAACAAGAAAAAGAACATTCAAATGTCCAACAGTGTTCTAGCTGGCCCAAAATCAAAGGGCACAGCTTACCTCTGTCTTCAAGTTCTTCCCTACAGGAAGAAGTGGGTTAACTCTGCAGTGTCTGCACTCTGTCCAATTTTCATGATGCCTTGACCTTTGTCTGGCCTATTTTATAACCCAATGCTGTTTATTCTTTATGAGTGATACTGTGATTCATCTTTTTATAGTAAGATGGTGCCATTTAATTGATTTCTGTTTGGATGCAAAAGTTTCATGGCTGCCATTTTATAGAATTTAACAATTGAACTGTCACAATTTTTGAAACAACTCAAATACTGAAGATTTATGAATAGCATTAGGACAACAGTGCCATTGTACATTTGCAAATTTAAAAATGTTTACAGTTGAAAAGGGAACTAGACAATCATCTGAGTTATAATTGTATGATGCATAAGTGCATAGCTGATTGTTTATAAATTATCTAGTATGACCATATCAACTATTTTGTGACTGTCAGTCGCGAAGGGGGGTCTTACAGCGGCTTTCTTTCTGTTCTTATTTAAATTTAAATGGAAAAAAATAACCACTGATAGAAAATTTTGATTGAAACTTTAACACTTGATCAGCTGTCAGATGAAAGGTAGCAAGCACTCTGTGAGTATTGCATGGTAATACATAGTCCCCTACTGGTTAAAAATTCATTGTAATGGAGCAAACCTACCACTAAATTCTTCAAACAATTTATAAAAGAAAAGGAAAAAAATCCAAAATGTCATTTATCTTAAAACAATGTCTTTTACAAATCTTTAAAAAAAAAGAGAGTTATTTCCCTTTGAACAGAAATCTAGTAATTTTAAATAAGTATTTCATCAAAAATTTAATTCTAGGGAAAGGGCTTTAACTGAACAAGGAGAAAAGCTAAAATCGTGAAAATCGAACTTGTCATGATAAAACAATATACCAAATATCAAATCAATATCTTCAAGCATGAAGAAAAAACGTCTGGAAAACTGATTTGCCGGACTGTCAGATGGAGACGGACAGAGTGCAAACCTAAAGTCCCCTTCGACTTCGTCGGTAGGGGACTAATTAACCATGTACATGTTACTGAATAGGTTTCTAGTACTAAATATAACATGTAAAGATTCAATCAAAAATGCAGAATAAACATTTGACTGACAAAAATGATTTACCTAAAATAAATTTAAAAAGAATTGAGCCAAGGTAGCTTCGATTGGTATTTATTAAGACTGAAAAAGTTTTTGGTACTGATTCTGTTGTGCAACTAAAACATGTAAAATGCAATGAGTATGCTCAAGTTCTGACAATTTCACAAATTATAACGTACATTCTGGCTAACAAGTATTTAAATTCACTGGAGTTGAGGAATGAAATGAAGGTGTCGCACTGTCAAGATCATATGAACAAAGTCATTTTATTACAAAAAGAAACAAAACTAGTAACATATTAAATATATATATATATACATGTATACATGTACAACGTCATGTAAAAATGTCTTCTTTTTTTTTACACATTAAATATTAATCAAATTATCAATAATTGTATATTTTGTTTAAATCCCTATTCATAACAGTTCTATTACAATTGTAAAATGTGGGTCCACTAAACTATACTGACTGTTTTTGAAGTATAATCTAGACATTGTTAGATGAGGGAGGGTTCCCTCCCCTGACTCACTGAGAGACTATATGATGTGTGAATTAACGTTATACATTGCATATGTAAAAGCCAATTATTATTCTATCCATCTTGTATGGCAAAGGGTTTATATTTCATCTTAAAATTGTGTCAGTGGAAATGGGATTCATAGTCAACTTTACCAACACAAAAAGCTATTTTCTAGAATAATTTTTGGACAAGACAATAATATGTTTTCAGGCTATCAAACGATTGGTCGTCTGGGAAAAAAGAATTAGACAATTAGTCCAGTTTCCTTTTCTACAATTCATGTATTATATAATAAAAACATTGTATCATTTTAAGAGAGGGTAAGTTGTGTGGAACCATCAAATACATTTCCGTGAACATAGATACATTTTGTACAATGCTCAATGAAAAGGAATCTGGGTCCATTCGGTGTTTTTTATTTTATTTAGTTGCCTTTTTGCTCAATGTAAATTATTTGCTCTTAATTAGTTAAGCTATTAATTTTTAAATATCTCGAAGTTTTTTTCACAACTTTTGTAAAATACATAATTTCTTTAATGTTTCCTTTAAAAATAAAAAAATAATTATATCTGAATAAATTTATAAAACCTTAATTAATACCATTAATATTTGTAATGTTTTTATAAAAGTAGGGCAAACAAACCCAGGATGAACGATTCTGATTTCCAATAAAAAGTACAATGTATTAATACAATGTTCAGGATTTTGAAATCTGGACACATCTTGAGGTGCCAAAACATGTCCTAAACATATGATATTCTTTAAACTGGATGTACTATTACATTAATCAAAGGCATCTTTATTACATTACATACATGTAGCGCTAATAATCAAAATGTATCCACAAATATGCCTATAAATTCTTTTTAAGCAAATCAAGTTTGTTTTCGACATGTAATACAAGATTTTCAACTACATTGCAAATAGTTTCACTATGTAAATAAATATAGATGCGCACTAAACATCAATTAGAGAGCAACCCAGCATCCAAACACTTTATACTTGCCTTTAGGGGGTCACATTGGGGGTTTCTGATCCCAGACCCCACTTATTTTGTCAGAATCCTGTTTCATGCTTATCATTGTAATAATAGCGCTTGTAATTTCATGTGTCCCGCCCAACTTTGTTTCCCGTTTTCACGTCTCCTGCTTACAAAAAAAATTTGCCAATCCCACATCACGCTTAGACCCCAATGAGATCCACTCTTAGGTGGAAAGAAAATTTTAGGCAGTCTTTACAAAATCAAAGTCTCTTAAACACAATGTAAAATCACAGTTGTTTTCATTCTACAGATCATGTATCAAAAGTATGTTTGACCAATCAAGTGTTTTCCAAACTGGAAACTAAATGTTTTTTTTTTTAAATCATACTCAGAAGTAAGAACTTAGTTAAAGTGTTCTATATTTAAAGAAACCAAATGTGCTAATTGGAATCACATTAATGTTTTATTGACTTTTGTTCATATCAATTGCATGCTACTATGTTCATAGACAAAATACTTTTTTTAATACTCTTAAAAACAGTTGTCAAACTTCCTTTAGTGTGTACACATAGGTGCTTGTATACATCAAATGTACAAATTAAAACATTAAAACTGGCAGGAATTACGGGAGATAAGCATGACTAGGGACAAATTCTTACCAAGGCGTATTTCGCCAAAGTTGCCATGCCCTATTTTCTTGCCAACTCTAAAGTTTGGTCCAACCATAAGAACCCCAGAATTGCTGGAGCCTGGTGGGCCTGGTCTTCCAGACGTGTGCATGCTTCTTCCACTAGTTTTACGTCTACTTTGATCTTCACTTTTTTCGTATTCGGGTCTTTTCTGCATACTAATTAAATTCAAACACACACACGCGTCTCTACTAAATGTTATCTACAAATGTTAACGTGAAATAACCACCAGCGATAGAAGATGATATGAGAGTACATGTTCCAGCACATGAAATGTGTCAGAGTTGTCGATCATTTTATGCCGGATAACAATATTTATGTATGAATTTAGAACTGATAGCTTAGTTAACCCCAGCCTTGAGATGACACATTGACTAACTCTCTTGTAAAGTGTCCAAAATTAAGGTAATTGACTAGCATATTTGCGAGATCGGCCAAATGTTATTGTCATTTCCACTTCATAGTTTTTGTTCTGGACTACATTTACCAGCTGTTTGACAAGTAAATTAATCCGCTTTTCGTAAACGACAGACTTTTTAAAACATATTTACATTCCAATAACTTCACATTAATTCAAATTGCTTAGATGCACCTTCAAGAATTTTGAAAAAACAAAAATAAAAGAAATTGATAGTTAATATCGAACTATATTTTCTGCAACCGGAACGTCGTGATACGTTAGCCGGCAGTTTGCGCAGGTCGGGAATTCCCGTTACCAGGCGGTTTATATTATTTACTTGTAAACAGTTGATTTAGTCTACAAAATAAATCGACAATGCTTTTGTCCTTTAAAACCCATGTGTTGTCCAATTTTTCAACAAAGTTACAGTACTTATTTTCTAAATCAAGCTATTTTCAATTGAAAATTTTAAAGTGGATATTAGGGTCACCCCATTTTACGTCATTTCCGTCAATAAATTTGCATCAATATGGCGGCTGTTTTCAAACAAAGTCAGATGTTCAAGAACTTTTGATGAAATATTGCCTCTTTTAACAGATCAGCGTACATATAACTAAGAATTTTGGAAGAATGGTTGAAAAGGAAAAATTCTTAGTTGTCATTTCTGTGTTGGAGGGTAAAAGAAACATAGAAAATTATATTTTGTTTGTTGAGGAATTCTAAACAGTGAAACACGTCCGTTCTCGTTTTAGCATCTTGAGCGAACGGCAACATTGAAAATTCTGCACGTTAAATTTTACTTTACAGTTTTTGGCACGACAGTTTTTTGTTTACTTTGCAAAGAGAATATCAAATTCCCTTTCCTGAATTGTCTGTTATGTAAATCATATGTTATTTCATAATTTTCTGAAGTCTATTACAATATTAAAGGGAGATAATGTTGCAGGAGGTCCATATAGGATCTTTTGATTTAAATAATATGAGATCAGGAAGTTTTAACTGTGAAAGAGGATGAAACTTGCATTATTATGGGATACTTTTCATCCATGTCCAGTTCCCTATGGTAAAATGAAATATGACATTGCAATATCTACAATGAATGAACAATATGTCAACGGGTGCTAGGCGTTTCATTCATAGTTGATTTGTAACTGAGACGTTTCGTAACCTTATATAATAATGCTACACATGTATGATAATATAAATTGTAGGTTATAGAAGAATTGTAACATAAATATTTCGATTATAAAATATTAAAACACTTATTGGTAAATGTTTATATAGCATTTATTAAAAAAATGATCATCAATTACAATTATTTAGGGAGACCATTGCACATAATTCCACATTTTACAAGTCCAGTTTTGCACATATATGAAAAGAACAGAAAAATTTAAATTGTCCATAATCATTTAGATGTACCTTGTCTAATAATACTTTCAAAGTATTTGATCTCCTGCTACGTTCATTATTGTCTCCAATACTTGACACCACTCATCTTTATTTTGCTTAGTTCTTTATTAATCTATCATAAGTTGTTTCTTTCATGTTTCTCGTGTTTGGTCTGATGATGATGGAGCCTATCACTACAGAATGAACACCCAAGCGCTTGACATCTTTTGCGAGTTGCACAATCTCTGATGCTGTGTGTAATGCAGATAATTTGTCACAGATGTCATTCTCTCCAATCTATGAAAACAAAGTCTGGTTTAAATTTCTTCACTATGTTGAGATGTTTTAATGACTGTACTTTTCTCTCACCTACCCATGAAGCTTTGTTTTGAAAGAACTTGATGATAAGTCGAATTGCGTTCTAAACATCCATTCTTCTTCACAGTTTTTTTTCACATTTCAAAGACAGCGAAACCATAAGACCTTTTGGTGGTGCAGTGTACGGGGTAAAAGTAATGGGTGTCCAGCAGCAGTAACCCAAATTTAAATAATCAAAAACTGTTTTAGATTATTACTAAATCATTATAAATTCTTTAACACTTTGAACATTTTTTTTGATATAAAAAGTGTATCAAGTATGCAGAACTTTGAAAAATGAAATAGTTTATTTAAATCTGTTCCTGTACTATATAAAGAAAACACAAGAAATTTGTTTTTGCTTCAATATATAGACATTTCTAAAAATTGTACACTTCCAGAGACAAGACTTGTGAATCAATTTATATGTATTGTCTTTAACTGTTTAATTTAGCCAAGACTAAAGACACTTTATAACTATATAAATAATTACAACAGGTAAGAAACTTCTCAGTTATGAAACAACCTAGTTACGAATCGAACAGGTCATCTTTGCTAGCCAAGGGTTACGATCCAGTCCTCTCTCCACCCTTGGCGGATTAAGAAAGAATTTTGGATCCACTATTGCACTTAAATTTAACTCTATTACTATTAGGCCAAAAAAAATATATGTCTGTTTATTATTATCTGTATATATTTTTTTTTGGCCTTAAGTAGGTTTAGTCATTTGGCTTAATATATTAATGTGTTGTAAGTATTTCATGCATTAGTCTCGTATATAACGACTTCAATTAATAAAAAAAAAAGTCCTGAAAAATTTTCCCCAAGTATGTATCTAATGATTTGTTGTTTTTTCAAGAATTGCTTGGCCAATTAAAGCATTGCTAATTTAAGCTGATAACTGATTTCACAATGTCTAGCTATAGGGTTTCTGTATATCAATCAAAGCTATAGAAGTGGTTGATAAGTTTACAAATCTTTTAAGTCCATCATATCTGTCAGTTTCATCTGGGTTATTTTTAAATGATATATTTAGATAATTGAGAGTGGGTTGATTTGGGAACTGAACCCTTAACCAGATACAATGTATAATTCAAAGACGTTATATTTTTAAAAGTTTAATACCAGCAGTAAAATGAGTTATTTATAGTAGAATTACAATTTTGAAATTGGTGACCTAAAAACTAAGACAGTTTTATATGCTCTGCTTTTCTGATGATCTGTTTTTGGAGAATAAATTATATCACATATTTTAATAGTTTTGTTTGAATAATATTGGATATCCAGGACATCATGTCAGTTGTAACTTGAGATTCTCATGAATGATTGTAGGTCAATTTATGAAGATATCTGTCTTTTACATATTAATTAACCAAATAAACAATATTTAATTTTTTTAAAGGCAGTGCTTTAATGCCTTTCTAGTTGCCGTGTTAATCTTTCTTTCCGCGATATCCAACTTATCTACGTGGGGGGTCATTAGGCTCCAAGTAGATCCGGAAAATGTTGATTCTCTCCTCTTCTTATTGTGATATAAAATGTTTTTGTTTCATTTCATTTACATTGGAAAATAGAGAAACGATCATTGTGTTTTGTTAGTTTTAAAAACTTTTGATATATTTGTATTTTACATTATAAGCAGTCAACCGATTGACAAACTAGAATTATTTGAATTCCGTGTGGAAAGAGGTCGGGTTAATTTCGAGTGTTATCTGCAAACTAGATGTTTATAAATCATTTCAGTCGTTGATATAATAATTAAAGGTCGACTGAACATGAATTATATTATACAATTTAAAGCGCATTTCTGTTTATGCACGCAAACCCGTCTAACGTTATTGTTATTTCGCAGTTATATAAAGTAGCAAATTATCGTTCCTGAATAGGTGGCGCCATGGTAGCCGATCCTGTTCTTCAACTTCCGGTTTCTGCACTGTGCAACTATTACAGTTGCATTTTTAATTAACGATGCCAAGTACTTGTTGTTGTGTACCTGGATGTCATTTAAGAGGAGGACATGCATTTCCAAATGACTTAAAAAAGAAGGAAAAGTTGGATCAACGCCATGGCCCATACGCAGATTGGACGAGAACACGATGAAATCGTGGAGTCCATCTCAATCAGCTGTTGCTTGCAAGGCAGATTTTACTGAAAAAGACTACGTGCAGGAAACTATTCATGGTAAAACTCTATTTTCTTTTTAAAATATATAGTTATATATGTAATCGCCATGCGAATAAACCAAAGTCTGTTTACAACCGCAATTATCGTTTTAGAATAAAATGGGGTGGTTAATTCAAGACGTCATAATTTTTTGGATTACGATTCAATGTGATCTGTTTTAGATTTTTTGGTGCTTGCTACAATTATAATGATTTCTTACAAGAGGTATATCATACTGAGAATTATTTTAGCAGTAATTATGCTAATGTAGTAACGACAGGAATGCATAAGCTATGCCTCATAGACTTTCTTGAAAAATATCAATGACAATGTTAACAGGAACAAAACAATGACATGCTCTCATCTATATTATAGTTATTTAGGTACAAACAATGTATGTTTGTTGCATAAGTCTCTCATTGTTTGTCCTTTGGATTTACATAACATACATTTTGATTTACATTGATTCAGGCTAACATAGTTTTATCCAGATTATAATGAATAAATCTAGTTAATATTTTGCCAGGTAGTACAAAGTATGCATTGCTAATGGAAGTTCATTTAATTATCAAAAAACTAATGTTTTATAACCTTTTTCAGGGCGCAAACCCACCATACAGAGACTTAAATCTACTGCCATTCCCAGCCTATTTTCCTGGACCAAGCAAGAGACTGAATCGTCCGCAAAAAGAAAAATCAGGGCAGTTTCCTGTGAAAACAAAAGAACTAAACTTGATGAATATTGTAGTAGAAATCTAGAGGAAAGTTTTGATTATAAAGTTGGTTTTCCTGAAGAAGTCATTCATACTGCAGACAGGATTTATGACTGTCCACCACCAACTGCCGAGCTAATGTTGAGCTTCACAGATGGAATTACGCAAATACCATCAATGCCTTTATTTTCAGCAGAGAATTTTGAAATGAAGACACGTGACACAGCCATGCATTTTTATCCTGGTATTAGAGTTGTATACTAAATTTTTATTTGTTTTCACCACACTTGGTCCAGCAGCACATTGTTTGAGATACATATATTTTCAAATTGATAGGGTGTCATTTGAAAATCAGTTTTTTTATGACTTTGATGAAATTGAGGCATTATACAACCAACTTTGAACTGTCTAGATTCTAGATTGAAACTAGTGTTAAGAATATTGTGTAAACATGGATTGTTTTTATGTCTAAACAGTGGCGTGAGGCTAACACTTGGCCATTAAGTGGTTTAGTCAGGCATTTTTCGCCATCCAACTTCAAATTAAAGTTTCCTACAACTTGGATTATTATTGACAGCACAGAATATCCCGTGATAAAATCTAAAGCTCCTAGAGCTCAGGCAACCTTTTCATCATATAAAAACAGAAACACTGAAAATACTTGCATGTTCGACACCTGGTGGTTTAGTCAACTATGTCTCTAATGCATATGTTGGTTGTACCAGTGACTGTGAAATAGTTGAAAGATGTAGAATAGTTCAATTATGTGATCCAGGTGACAGTGTGATGGCAGACAAAGGTTTAAATGTGCAAGATTTGTTTGCTCACTTTTTTTCAAAAAAAGAAACAGAATTAGTTCCAAAACTCTTATACGGGATAGAAAAGTCTCCAATTAAGACGTGCACATAGAGCTAATTATTGGACTTGGCAAAACATACAAAATTCTAATAAATCCTATGAATGGAACTGAAACAAAACTTTCATCTGAAATAACATTTAGTTGTTTTATGTTGTGTAATTTTAGAACTTGTATTGTGCCAAAGGATGCATAAATAAAAGTGACGCAATGAAGTTTGTTCTGATATATATATATAAATATTATTTACAATTACATGCACATGTAAATTGTAATGCATATAAAAATAAGGAGATGTGGTATGATATTCAGTGAGTTTATCGAACCAAAGTGCATAAGAAATGGGTTAAGCAGTTACAAGTGTTACTGTCACCGTACAATCTCCAACAACATGAACAATTAGAAAAACTTGTACCGTGTAAAAAATTTCAGAGATCTTACAACTAAGTTTGACTATGGTGAATTGTTTATATCTGTTGATATAAATATAAAAAAGAAGATGTGGTATGATTGCAAATGAGACAACTCTCCACAAGAGACCAAATGACACAGAAATTAACAGCTATAGGTCACAGTACGGCCTTCAACAATGAGCAAAGCACATACCGCACAGTGAGCTAAAAAAGGCCCCGAAATGACAATGTAAAACAATTCAAACAAGAAAACTAACGGCCTAATTTATGTACAAAAAATGAACAAATAACAAATATGCAACACATCAACAAACGACAACCACTGAATTACAGGCTCCTGACTTGGGACAGGCACATACATGTACATACAGAATGTGGCGGGGTTAAACATGTTAGCGGGATCCCAACCCACCCCCTAACCTGGGACAGTGGTGTAACAGTACAATATAAGAACGAACTATAAAAATCAGTTGAAAGAGGCTTAACTCATCAGATGGATACCGGTAAATACAAATACAAGTGGACGTGGCCGGGTAGTTGTACATCCAAACAACAAAAAGACACTTAAGTACAGATCTGAGAGTACTCGCATTTACTGACAGCAAGTTCAAAGCCACTAACAACTGATAAAAAAATCTTGCATCTAAGACTAAATTATCAATCCGTAAGCTCCCTTTAGAATTTTATAAATTTTAGATTTTACATTTCTGAGTTATGGGGTTTTATTCATTAAAAAAGGGGGATTTTCCAGTTTTTGGACAACAACGCAAAAATGCTTTAAGCAGTTCGCATGAAACTTTGGTGAATTATTTATAGCTATTGATGTAATCTCCCTATTGATTTTTATAAATTTCAAATATGACATTGAGAAGAAATTGAACTTTATTTGTTTATAGTCTGGCAACAGATTTATTAAGTATTGCGCAACAGCACAGTGTATTGCACAACAGCAAGCAATCTTTAATTGAATATAAATTCAATTCATATAACCGATTTCAAGTTCTTTGACTACATTTATTCAGAAACTATAATATGTCAAATATTTAATTACAATCCAAATTCAGACCTGTATCAAGCTTGAATATTGTGTCCATTTTTGCCCCAACTGTTCAGGGTTGGACCTCTGCAAGTGTATCCAGCTGCGCTCAGCGAATCAATTTATTTCTTAATTAAGAACTCCTTTTGTCGAGCCTGCGACTTTTGTCGCAGAAAGCTCGACATACGGATAGTGATCCGGCGGCGGCGTTAGCTAACTTCTTAAAAGCTTTATATTTTAGAAGGTGGAAGGTCTGGATGCTTCATACTTTGTATATTGATGCCTCATGTTATGAAGTTTCCGTCAGTCACATGTCCAATGTCCTTGACCTCATTTTCATGGTTCAGTGACTACTTGAAAAAAAAGTTAAGATTTTTTGTAATGTTAAATTCTCTCTTATTATAAGTAATAGGATAACTATATTTGGTATGTGCGTACCTTGCAAGGTCCTCATGCCCGTCAGACAGTTTTCACTTGACCTCGACCTCATTTCATGGATCAGTGAACAAGTTTAAGTTTTGGTGGTCAAGTCCATATCTCAGATACTATAAGCAATAGGTCTAGTATATTCGATGTATGGAAGGACTGTCCAACTGGCAGGTGTTATCTGACCTTGACCTCATTTTCATGGTTCAGTGGTTATAGTTAAGTTTTTGTGTTTTGGTCTGTTTTTCTTATACTGTATGCAATAGGTCTACTATATTCGCGCTTTGATTCATTAAAGATGTCAGATTTAAAGAATTGGTTGTAGAAACAATATAAGCAGCTGATCCCCAGCTGACCAGGCGTTGTACGCGTACAATGTACTTGCAATCAAATTATCGGATGGCAGTTTTGAACTTTTCATATTTCAATTGTAAAAAAATAATAGAAAGAAATCCGCCGTTAAAATCCATCCAAAAAACCTACCGAAAAGTACAACTGGTCTGCTCGTAATAAATAAAAATATAACAAATCAGCCAAGTGATTACATAACATTTCTCGTGACACAAATCATTCATCATGTTCATTGTAAAATGATAACTCAAACAATCGCTCGGTTCTGTGTTAAAATTGTTTTTGACTGGAGCCTGGGAGGTGGCAGGGTATTTTTACATCCCGAACAACAAAAAAAACAAATTACAGATCTGAGATTACTCACAGTTACTGACAGTTTGTTCAAAGCTAATAACAACTTATAAAAGAAATCATGTATCTAAGACTTAAATATCAATCAGTTTGTTACACATAAATTACTTTGTCAAACCTTCATACAATTTTATGAAACTTTGGCAGAAGCTTTTTTATGATTAAAAGAAAATGTCCGAAGCAAATCTTGAAAATATTTTTTTTTTCCAATTCAATATTTTTCTGATAGATGGACTTAGTTTTTTACAGTTAACATTTACAGACAGTCTGGGATTGAATTTTTTCGACACGATAAGTTTGTAAACCTTCATGGATTGTTATGAAACTTAGATAGACACTAATCTTCAAGACCAAGAAAATTGCTTTTAAGAAAAGTTTGATTTTTTTTAAATTCTTTATTTTGCTGATAAATGGACTCACATTTTAGGTGAAATTTATACTTTACACTAACATCAGCAATCGCAGGCGAGACACAGGGTTCCGCAGAACCCCTTATGAATTTTCTGAAAAGCTGCTAACCAAAAATAAAATTGCTGCAACCATGAATTTAACCTAAACAAATGCACTTTTCAATATTCTTGCAAAATTCAAAAATTAAGATTTTTTGCACTAAATTTTTTTATCCCATTTGGGCTAGAATATCCCTAATGGGTTATTATGACCCATTTGGGAGATGATCCCCAACAAAGAATTTACTAATTTGCATGATATTGAGTTACTTGCTGAAACTTATATGTTAACTTTAAGTTTTCTCTACTTAATTCCCCTATGCATTTATATGTGAAACTTATCCATCTTTTCTATCTTATACATGGCCATTCGGTTTTGCATGCATGTTAAGGTTTCTTACTACATGTATGTACATGTAGAAATATTTCAGTCGGATCATGTGCCTGAAGATGCTATATGATTGAAAATTTTCAAATTTTAAATAATTAAGTTATGTTGGAATTGAAAAAATACATTTTTGTACTTCTATTTTTTTTTTCATTTTCTCAATTAGAACACTCATGTCACAAAAATAATCTTTAAAGGGCCCCTTATCTATCATATATTGTTAACACATTTGACATCATAATGTTTAATTTTGTTGCAGCTTTGATTGATGTGTAATGTTGTATGTGTTATGAATTTCTTTCAAGGCCTGTTATAAACTGTCTTGTGTTTCAGGAAGGAGATTTCCAAAGAGACCAAAGCACAAAGTCATTGCTGAAGCCAGGTTTGATGGTGAACTTTTGGCTTCAGACCCTGTTGACCATGTGGAGGCCCCAGATTTCACACAGGAACTGGCATGGGAATTGGATAAAAAAGGTCTACAGCAACACAGGTTGCAGAGGACTTCAATCAAAATCCAATGTTATGCTGTTGATTCAGTCAGTACCATGAAAGAAGTTATTGGTTATGTTGTTTTAGACATCAGATCTGTTCAAACAAAACAGGTAGTTTATTTTCTGAGTTAAGTTTCAATCAACTTAATTTAACTTATCATATTAAAAATTCGTAAGGGTTCCGCAGAACCCAGTGTCTCGCCTACTTTTGCTGTTAATCGCAGGCTCAACAAAAATGAGGAAAAAAATCAATAAAAATATTCCTTTAGATACTATCTTTTGATTGTAAGAAGCTTCTGTCAAAGTTTGGTATAAATCCAGGATAGTTTATGAATCTTATAAATGTTTTAAAAACTTTAACTGCAGACTGTATTTAATGTTAACTGGAAGAAAAACGAAGTCCATTTAAAAGTAAAATACGGATAAACAGGCACAAATTTTAACAAAATTTCCTTCTAGATACTAGCTTTAGATCATAAACAAGCTTCTGTCCAAGTTTGGTACGAATCCAGGATAGTTTAAGAAAGTTATTAAAATTTTAAAAACTTTAACCACAGAGTGAATGAAATGTTTCCCAGCAGAAAAACTAAGTCCATTTACAAGTAAAATACTGAAAAACAGGAATTTTATTTTTACAAAATTTACTTCTGGATACTATCTTATGATCATAAACAAGCTTCTGTCCAAGTTTGGTAGAAATCCAGGATAGTTTAAGAAAGTTATTAAAATTTCAAAAACTTTAACCACAGAGTGAATATTTGTGGACGCTGCCGACGACGCAGACGGAATGTAGGATCGCTATGTCTCGCTTTTTCGACCAAAAGTCGAAGGCTCGACAAAAATGGTTTTACCTGTCAGGGCTTCAACATTTTTGTTTTTAAGTATTATCTTATAAGCCAATAATTAGATGTGAGCTAGCAATTTTGTGTTAATTAGAGCATAGCTGCGGAACTGTAGCTCATAGGTCCTTATGATATGGTCCGCAAATTATCGAAAAATATCATAAGGACCTATGAGCTAAGCTTCCGCAGCTAATTGGAGCAAAGATGAAGCACACTTCAGCAAATAAATGGTTCTAAACGATTTTTATACGACCGCAAAAAAATTGTATATTGATGACGTTGGCGTCGTCATCCGAAGACACATTGGTTTTTCGCAATCTAACTTTAGTTTAAGTGAATGGATTTCTATGAAATTTTACCATAAGGTTCAATACCCCAAAGGAAGGTTGGGATTGATTTTGGGTGTAATGGTACCAACAGTTAAGGAATAAGGGGCCAAAAAGGGGCCAAAAATAAGCATTTTTGTAACTTCCATACATAACTTGTGTGTTAGTGTATGGATCTCTCTGACATTGTACCACAAGGTTCCATATCACAAAGGGAATGCTGGGATTGATTTTGGGGGTAATTGTCTCCAAATTTTAGGAATAAGGGGCCAAAAAAGGGGCAAAAAACAAGCATTTTTCTAGTTTCATGACAATAACTTGTGTGTAAGTGTATGGATCTGTATGAAATTGTACTACAAGGTTCCATATCACAAAGGGAAAGCTGGATTTGAGTTTGGGGGTAATTGCCCTAAACGTTTAGGAATTTTGGGCCAAAAAGGGGCCAAAAAACAAGCATTTTTCTAGTTTCCAGACAATAACTTGTGTTCAAGTGTATGGATCTCTCTGAAATTGTACTGCAAGGTTCCATACCTCAAAGGGAAGGCTGGGATTGAGTTTGAGGGTGATGAATCATAAGGGGGTTCAAAAAATTTGGGGGGGGGATTTTTTTTTCCTTTTTTTTCTTTCAAATTTTCCATTTTAAATTGGTTATTTCTGATTTATATATAAAAGCAAATAATAATGATATGGTTTGAATAGGTAAATTAAAAATTTTTAAGTTTCAGGCCACATTCATTCTGTGTCAGAAACATATGCTGTGTCAAATATTTAACCACCATCCAAATTCAGTGCTGTATCAAGCTTGAATGTTGTGTCCATACTTGCCCCAACTGTTCAGGGTTCGACCTCTGCGGTCGTATCAAGCTGCGCTCAGCAGAGCATTTTATTTAATTCAATATTATAACATGCATATAGCACAAGGTCTCAAACTAATAATGGCCTCTCTATCCTTAATCATATACAGTTATTGAGGATGAACCTCAACCTGAAAATTAACCTATAAACTGTAGTGTGAAATAAAGGCCAAGGCAGTTTTACAGACGTTTATTTCGTTGAAACTCAAATTTCATGCTCCATTGTTATTTCTATTTTTATACGGCCGCAAAAACATTTTGCGGTCGTATATTGGTATGACGTTGTCGTCGTCATCGTCCGAAGACACGTTGGTTTTGCACTCTAACTTTAGTTTAAGTGAATGGATCTCTATGAAATTTTACCATAAGGTTCAATACCACAAAAGGAAGGTTGGGATTGATTTTACAGGTTATGGTACCAACAGTTAAGGAATAAGGGGCCAAAAATAAGCATTTTTGTAACTTCCAGACATAACTTGTGTGTTAGTGTATGGATCTCTCTGACATTGTACCACAAGGTTCCATATCACAAAGGGAATGCTGGGATTGATTTTGGGGGTAATTGCCTCAAAATTTTAGGAATTAGGGGCCAAAAAAGGTGCAAAAAACAAGAATTTTTCTAGTTTCATGACAATAACTTGTGTGTAAGTTTATGGATCTTTCTAAAATTGTACTACAAGGTTCAATATCACAAAGGGAAAGCTGGAATTGAGTTTGGGGGTAATTGCCCAAAACGTTTAGGAATAAGGGGCCAAAAATAAGCATTTTTCTAGTTTCCAGACAATTAGTTGTGTTCAAGTGTATGGATCTCTCTGAAATTGTACTGCAAGGTACCATACCACAAAGGGAAGGCTGGGATTGATTTTGGGGGTAATTGCCTCAAAATTTTAGGAGTAGGGGCCAAAAAGGGACAAAAAACAAGCATTTTTCTAGTTTCATGACAATAACTTGTGTGTAAGTGTATGGATCTTTCTGAAATTGTACTACAAGGTTCAATATCACAAAGGGAAAGCTGGAATTGAGTTTGGGGGTAATTGCCCTAAATGTTTAGGAATTTGGGGCCAAAAAGGGGCAAACAAACAAGCATTTTTCTAGTTTCGATACAATAACTTGTGTTCAAGTGTATGGATCTCTCTGAAATTGTACTGCAAGGTACCATACCTCAAAGGGAAGGCTGGGATTGAGTTTGGGGGTGATGAATTATAAGGGGGTTCAAAAAATTTGGGGGGAGGGTTTTTTTCCCTTTTTTTTTTCTTTAAAATTTTCAATTTTCAATTGGTTATTTCTAATTTATATACAAAAGCAAATAATAATGATATGGTTTGAATAGGTAAATTAAAAATTTATAAGTCCTTAGACTACATTCATTCTGTGTCAGAAACCTATGCTGTGTCAAATATTTAGTTTCAATCCAAAGTCAGTGTGTATCAAGCTTGAATGTTGTGTCCATACTTGCCCCAACTGTTCAGGGTTCGACCTCTGCGGTCGTATCAAGCGGTGCCCAGCAGAGCATTTTATTTAATAAGGTGTATGTATATCAGAATGAAACATTAAACATGATAACATTATGTAGAAAATATTGTGTATATGAATTCATTACATGTATATAAACATGTCCCTGACAGATTTCATTTAAATGTTTAGTTGACTACAGTTAGAGAGTTAATTGCCCTTAAACAATTCCAATATTGCAACACTCAAGAAGTGTTATTGTGACAGCTCTTGTTTTAAGGTGTAAATCTTTATTATATCATTAATAAGTGCATATCTATAGTTAGGATCCTGAAATTTTTGCACACAATTTCAGTCTTTTTTAGAGGACCTCAAAGTTAGGGTAATTTTTTCCAAACTGTCAAATTCATACCAAGTTAATAAATTTCAGTATCGAAAAAGCTTAACTTAATTTAGAATCAGTGCTCATCAGTTAGCTATTGAGAAAGGTAGATATAAAAAACTAGATAAAGATAAAAGATTTTGTGGGCAGTGTAAAAATATGCAGGTTGAAGACGAGTTTCATTTTTTAATGGAATGCACTGCATATGGAAAGGAACGGAATTTTATTCTTAATGAAGCATGCATTCAATGTAAAACTTCCCTTTTATTTCAAAGTCTGAACAATTTATTTGGTTAATGTCATGTGAGTCTGAAAATGTTAATATGTCAGTGTCAAGATTTATAAGTACTTGTTTTGAAATAAGAGAAAATTTGCATTCCAGTAACTAACTAAATATACATGTAGTAGTGCTGTTACAGTAGTTTATTTATTTTTATGTATTAGAGAGGGTTAATATTCTATTTTATTTATTTTCAAACACCATCTGGTATGGAGTATAGTTATTTAATCATTTATTTTTAATGTAATATATCTAAAAAATTACTGTATAATTTATACTATATATATATGTATATGCTCGGAAACGGGCCCTTTAATTGGATTCAATAAATATTCTTATTCTTCTTATTCTTATTCTTCTTACCAAAAGTCACAGCAAAACCTACTTATAACTAAGGCTTAAAAGAATAAACTATATGAAATTTGTTACCTTTTTGTAAAAACGTTACATAAGAAAGATCTGTGCACTGATTGAAATGATTTTGATGACTAAAAATTGCAAATTCTTCAGGTAATTAACCACACTACATATGATTTGAAAAACGAAATAAAAATGCAAAGTCGTTGAAAGATTCAAATAATTTATCCAGATTCATTTATGGGGTTTGTTCTGTTGGTCGAATGGCTAGAAATCACAACTGTTTTTAAAAGTGTTTTGATATAACTGATAATCTGTAAATCATAGTTTAATTAGGCATTAAATTATTTCAAATTTTATGATTAAGAGTCTTATAGTTATTGGGACATGAATGCATGCACTCTACATAGTAAAAAAAGCAAATGTGTGATGTTTGATTTTTTTTTACATGATTGAATTAAAAGTTTTAATTTTTAAATTAGAATTGCAATTAACCTTTGCTGAAAAATTATTTGATAATGAAGTAACTCATCTTTTATGGAACGGACTACCATATGAAATGCGTAAAGTGCAAAACACTTTTTCTTTTAAACAAATTATAAAACAATACTTGAGACAGTCCCAATATTCAGTCTTGAAATGATTGCAACTATTACTCTTTTTTTTTAGAATGTATGATTTTGATTTGTATATAATATCTGTTCACTACATGCAATCTGTAACTGTTTTATATGTTCTAATTATGGTACATGTACATTGAAATATCATGACTCTGTTTGCTTTTTTCTCTTATTATTATTTTTTACATGTATTGTATATGAGGGCCTCAGGGAAGATTAGTAATTGTAACTAACTGTGTTTACCCTCTTTAAATAAATAATTTATTTTTATTATCTAAACTTGATCAATACATTTTCCTGTCAGGTGTGAACACAGGTAAAAGTGATCAAATGAATTACACTTTAGACACTACATGTATGGCCTTCAACTATGAGCAAAACCCATACCAAATAGTAAGCTATAAAAGGACCTGACATGACAAAAAATAAAACAATTCAAACAAGAAAATAAACAGCCTGATTTAAGTAAGAAAAAATTAATGAAAGACAAATATGATAGACAGCAACCAACCACAACCACTGAATTACAGGCTCCTGTCTTTGGACAGGCACTTAAAGAATGTAGTGGGGTTACATGTTTGAGAGTGCTCAATACTCCTAATAACCTGGGACAGTGGTGTAATGACACAACATAAGAACATACTGTAAAAATCAGTTGAAAAATGCTAGACTCATCAGATCAACACAAAGCACAAATCAAATTAAAACAACTAACACAAAAAGACTAAAGACACAAAGAACCAATCTAAGAATACTCACAGTTACTGAAATCTAGTTCAAAGCCCATTACAATTACAACTAGTAAATAAATCTCATGTTTCCCAGATTAAAATGTCTATCTGCCAATTGGTACACATTCAATGGATTAGGTGTAAAAAGATGTCAAAAACATGACCTTGTGCAATGTTAAAATATAAGTATCGATTGGATGTAGGACCTTTAGTGTTCATACCTGTATATGAATAAATGTTTAGTTATGTTTTAATTCAAAACAAAATGTGACTGTTTCTTGAACCTTTGGTGCATGTTTATTTTTTCTTTACAGACTGCAAAGTGGTATCCATTGCTACATTCTAAGTACAGTAAAAATAAACCGGAGATTAAGTTGTCCATTTACCTCGACGATGATAAAACTGGAGAACAGCCAAGTTTTAAAGCCAGAGAAGCACCACCTAGAGGTAATTAGTGCAACATTAGTTTAATGATGATCATATTAAGTAAAATACACGTAAAAAGAATCATCAAAGACACTAGGCTAATAATTTTGTATGCTAGATAGGCATATCGTCTACAAATGACTCACCCATGATGCTTGAAACAAAAAATAATAATGCCACATCAAGAACGACATGTAATTGTCTAATATACTGAAAATTCGTAAGGGTTCCGCGGAACCCAGTGTCTCGCCTTCTTTTGCTGTTAATCGCAGGCTCAACAAAAATGAGGAAAAAAATTAATAAAAATATTCCTCTCTTTACTATCTTTTGATTGTAAGTAGCTTCTGTCCAAGTTTGGTAAAAATCCAGGATAATTTATGAATCTAATAAATGTTTTAAAAACTTAAACTGCAGAATGTATGTAATGTTGACTGGAAGAAAAACTAAGTCCATTTATAAGTAAAATTCGGAAAAAATGGAACAAAGATTTATCAAAATTTCCTTCTAGATACTAGCTTTTGATCAATAACAAGCTTCTGTCCAAGTGTGGTACAAATCCAGGATAGTTTAAGAAAGTTGTTAAAATTTTAAAAACTTTAACCACAGAGTGAATGTAATGTTAACTGAAAAAAAAACTAAGTCCATTTAAAAGTAAAATACAGAAAAAATGGAATTTTTTTTTTACAAAATTTACTTCTGGATACTATCTTATGATCATAAACAAGCTTCTTTCCAAGTTTGGTAGAAATCCAGGATAGTTTAAGAAAGTTATTAAAATTTCAAAAACTTTAACCACAGAGTGAATGTAATGTTTCCTGGCAGAAAAACTAAGTCCATTTATAAGTAAAATACGGAAAAAATTGATTTTTTTTTTTTTACAAAATTTACTTTTGAATATAATCTTATGATCATAAACAAGCTTCTGTCCAAGTTTGGTAGAAATCCAGGATAGTTTAAGAAAGTTATTAAAATTACAAAATCTTTAACCACAGAGTGAATATTTGTGGACGCCACGGACGACGCCGACGGAATGTAGGATCGCTATGTCTCGCTTTTTCAACAAAAGTCGAAGGCTTGACAAAAATCAAAATAGATAGAGCGGAAAACTGCCTAGAATGTCTACATTTTCCCACTTACTCTATCTGCCAAAATTATTAGAAGATTCCTTTATTAAACGATTATTTTTTACCTATGATTTGCATAGTTCTTCACTTCTGAAACTACCAAAGCAATTTAAAATCAAATTTTACTTGAATAATCCTTAGTTTGTCTATTCTTATCTTGATGAATATTATTCCATCTATTAATCTGCATGGCCACTAGTACAATGACCAATGATTTATGAGTATACTATAAAAATTATTGATCTACTATCTTGAAAACTGTACCGTAATTAACATAGCAAATAAGGAAAATCTGACAGGTGTAAAATTAATTAGAAAGTCAAGATCTACTGTTAATTCTTCCAATTTGTCAATTGGTGTCTGATTAATATCATTCTACTTAAATTGATATTTTTTATTCACTTTTTGGGGTTGGGCTATGATTTCTTGTTAAACTAATTGTCAACTTCCTTATGTTAGGCCTTTTATGTTAGGAAATATACATTTGGTTTACAGGATAAAAAAAATGATCAAGATAGTCATCAGCAATGAAAATGAGGAACTTCAAATTTCTATAAATCTTTCTATTATATTATATACATGTCGTATGTCTGTTTATCTGAAAGAAAATTTGCTAGAAAAATGTCCAACTGACTGACCGTATAAAAATAAGCAGATGTAAAATTGCCACTGAGACAACTCTCCACCAGAGACCAAATGATATAGAAGTTAATAACTATAGGTCACCATACGGCCTTCAACAATGAGCAAAACCCATACTGCATAGTCAGCTATAAAAGGCTTCGAAATAATAAATGTAAAACAATTCCAACGAGAAAACTAACGGCCTGATTTATGTAAAAAACAATGAACGAAATACAAATATGATATACACCAACATGCTTATTTTCAGTCTTTTTTTCCTTTAGCTTGAGTATAATCACTTAAAACATTGAACAAGTAAATGAAAAATATGGTTTCTTTTTTAAATTGAAATATTTTAAAAAAAAAACAAAAAATTAAAATAATAAATGATTTCAGAGAAGTGTATTTTGCATATTTGCTGATGCTGCTATTTTTCAGTGATAGAAGATTTAGCAGAAGGAGAAGGGTACTTGCGTACATTACAGCCAGTTTTAGTAGAAGATGAGGGATACTACCAAATTGGACCTGCAGACAAATGTAAAGATAGCTTTGTCATGTCTGTTACAATTGGATATGCTAATAATCTAGCACAGGTAAATAAGAATTATAACTAGGTTTAAAATTTCCTACAGGACACAGTGATTATAAGGGGGCCTAGGTGGCCAAGTGGTCTTATGAAATTTTATATATAGTTATCACTGATGTTACAAGTTTGTACTTCCCTGGCTGGTGCATTCGTCTCCTGCCTTAATTGACTAGAATTGCCAGTTTTCCTACCGAAGGACAAGGTTCTCTCCTGTTACTTTGGTTTCCTCCTACAATAAAAACTGACAGCTATGGCCACGATAAAACCAGGGCTGAAAGTGGCTTAAAAACCAACAATCAATCATTCATCAATCTGGGATTATTCTTCATACTACAAATATTTTTGCTAGCACTAAACTCTAAACCACTCAACAGGTTACGCTTAATCTTTTTAGCAGCATTCTGATCAGCACAGTTCAGGTCAAAATTTCTGTCTATATAAAAACCTGCAGACCATAATTATTTCAAACAATCTCATGAAATACTTAGAAATTACTAGAATATCAAAACAAAATTGCTTTTATTGCTTTTCTTCATCTGACAATTGTTGAAGGTAAAAACAGCACACAAAAAAATGCCCTTAGTGTGGACATGACCATGATATTCATGAAATAAGTAATATAAAATGTTTTTTTATATCTGCTTTGACTGACAGTAGATAAATGGCCAGTAATAAAAATAGTATGGAGATATAGTAATTAATTTGATCTAAAAGAAGAATTAGCAATAACATGGAACTCTAAGGTAAATTTAAAATACGGGTAGTTCATAAAACCTGACAAAATCAAACAGACAATATCAACCAACAGAACGAGTAGAAAACCACTGTTATTTTCCTGACTTTATACATGCATTTTCCAAAGGAAATGGTGGGTTAAACCTGGTTTTATAGCTAGCTAAACCTCCCACTTGTATGACAGTTGTTATAGTTCCGCCAAACATTAATATTTCTCAACTGTATGTTAAAAATGGTAGGTTGCAATGTATTAACAATATTAATGATAGATAATCCATTAAAGATATCATGGAAATTAACTCATAAAAAATAAATGCTTATGCCACAGAACTTTGTTTTACAGGCTTGAACCTTTTAAATGTTTCTACTCCATAATATTTATTATGTAATAGTTTGCCTACATCATTGGTAAATATTTCAATGTTTCAGTTAATTCCAAGCACTCACCCATTACCATCTTTAGCCACTGGATATTTCTTCTACTTTTCATTGCTGGGAAATGATGTGACGAATGAGACATTCCAGGACCTCATCAACCCAAACTTCCCTGCAGAGCGAGCTTCAGTCAGGATCAAGTCTAGTGTAGATGCTCTGAGAACATTTCTATCAAGCCAACCAGGAGTACAGGTTCATAAATGTTTATTTTGCTGCTTTCATTTATTCATTGAGTATACACGACAGTACACATAAGCTGTTTCTGTGAAAATAACTCATTATGAAAATAAGGAGATTTGATATGATTGTCTATGAGACAACTATCAAGCAGAGACCAAAGAGCTTGGATGTAAGAACCTATGCAAATATGATAATAGAAATGAACAGGGGACATTTCTTTCACAAGAGAAATCCCATAACTATAAAATATAAATAGCATACACTAAGTGTGGGGACACATTTTTACTGCATTCACACAGCACAAACATTTAGGTATTGGGCCAATCACATTGAAAAAATGTGATTGCTATGTGATATCTAATGTTGTTGAATGTGTATGTCAATAGAATTTTTTTTTTTTTACAATAAATCTATTTTAAAGGTCCATTTATGCTGTGGAGACCAGTCTTTAGGAAACTGTGAAATACCTCTGAATACATTAATAAAGAGAAACAGTACAGAGATCTATATGAAACCTGTGACCATAGAGGGACCATATCAGGTAATAAAAAAGTCGTTTCTAGGAAATGAAAACTGGATAGAAAAAATTATATACAAATGTACATATTTGTTGTTTGATGGAGTTTCTTAATTCATAGATATTGTTAGTTTAATGTAAACCAACTTATTTTATATTGATTTTTTTTGTGTTTAGACCTTCCTAGTCAATTTGGCATTGTTTTATTTTGGCTATTGATATATTAAAGAACCAAGTTTGATATATTCCTTTTGCAAAAAAAAAAAATAAAAGGTTCACCAGAATTAATTGGTTTGTAGTATCTGCTTAATTTTCAAGGAAGGAAATGACTGGATAATTTATATAAAAGTCTGTTCTAGGTACTTTCTTAAGAGTTTTGTTTTGAAATGAGGATCAGAAAAGAATTTAAAGGACTTCACAATGTTCAATCTTTTTTAAATAAACAAAATCATCGTCATTTTGAACAATCTACATAAACAAATGAGATGCCTATACAAAAATAATTTATGTCACTAATATGACTGAAGTAAAGATCATTAACTATATTGCATCTTTATTAAAATTATTATGAGGAAGTGAAAGTAAAAATTCTTACGGATATGCAGTTATTAAACATTTGGCTAAAGTCTATGATTTCGATACATTCAAACATGTTTTTGTTTTAACATTGTTTTTAACTGGGTTTTACGAAGGAAAAAAACAGTTATTAATTTGGTGAAGTACAGAGCGGCTACCAACAGTTTTCACGCAATAAATTATAAAACTTTCAACCAATACTTTTCAAATTTCGATATATTGATACTAATGACAAAATGGAGGTCAAGCTTAAAATAAACGGGGAAAAAATACCGTTCAGGAGTTATGGTCCTTTAAATATTGGAAAATGGCACGTTTCCATTCAATAACTTATGAACCCTTCTACAAATGGTTTTCAAATTATAATATGTTGTTACTGATGACAAAATGGACTTCAAGTTCAATATTGACGATTTTCGCTTTTATGTTGAGTTATTTATGGTCCTTAACCTATTGGAAAATGACATTTAATGCTGTTTCCATGCAATTCCTTATGAACCACTTGACCAATGCTTTTAAAATTTTGATATGTTGGTACTGATGAAAAAATGGAGGTGAAGCTTGATATTGACGATTTTCACTTTTGCCGTCTAGGAATTATTGTTCTTGATAAATTGTAATATGGCACTCTATGTTGTTTCCATGCAATTTATTATGAACTGTTCAACCAATACTCTTAAAATTTTACATTGCTGTTACTGATAAAGTGGGAGTTAGTTTTGATATTGATGTTTTTTTTGTTTATTTTTTGCCATTCAGGAGTTATGGTCCTTGATAGATTGGAAAATAAACAAGAATGTGGCAGGTCAAAAAAGCCTGAAAGCACCTTTCAAAATATAGAAAACCCAGTTTGCTTTTTCACTAAAAAATCTTCCAAAAACAAACACTTGTAAGTCATGTACAGCTTAGAAAAACTAAGATTTTTTTTTTTATTAAAAAGAGGTGCAGAACTTTAATATGAAGTTATTCTCACCAGTTTATTTGAACTTGCTTCAAAAAATCTATTATTTGTTTCAGCTGAATCCACCTAACAAGGCAAAGCAACAGATCTTATCAGCACCACCAGATTTAGCCCCTGTTGTTGGTGTGTCAATAGTACTCAGAAAAGAAGATATGGTAAATTATATATATTACAAGTACTTAAAAACGTATATGACATCTAACTCTTATTTAATTATACCCCAGCAAAAAAAGTTACTGGAGATTTTTTAGGAATTACCATATCAATTCATCTGTCTGTCCATGTGCTTGTAAGTGCATCTCCTCCTAAAGATCTAAATGGATATTGATGTAACTTCACACGGTTGTAAAGCATTAACTGAAGGGAAGATACTCAAATTTGCAGTTGTGGGGTATCTTTTTGTGGGTTCATTAAAAAAAGTAATGCGACGAAATCAGATTATTTTCCTTCAACACTTCCTCTACTATTGTGTGTACATTATGTAGTTAAAATTTTTCTAATATAGCAGTAAAATTCAGATTTGATTTTTTTTTCAATTTAAACTGAATTTAGTTGTAGATCCTGTATTTTTTTCTTTTGTGATTTAAAATTTTAAATGAGGCTAATTTAATTTAGAAATTAGATGATAAATAAGTCACTGAAATGTTTTAGCTATAACTAATTTTGTAAATACTAAAATAAACCAATTAAGGTCCAGTTATAATTTGATATAAACAAAAATGGAACAAGAAAGGCCAAATGTAGGAAGAACAGTATTTAGATGATTTTCTCAAAAAGTACTTCATTGAAGTTATATGTCCTAGTTTGGACATTAAAAAATGACTTACAATCATATAACTTGGTTTAAACAACATCCAAGTGATACATAGTAAGTCACATTTAGATATTTTGTCATCTGTTCCTAGTACTGTTTTTATATTAAATTACCTTAAAGATATAAACTTGTCCTTTTTCAGGGAGTCATGTCTCCTGGTAAAGGTCCTTCAGGGGAAAACATCCATGAAATTCCACAGTCTCCTGTGAGATCCCCAACACATTCTCCAGTGAGATCCCCACCAAAATCCCCTAAGAAAGATGGACAGAAGTCTCCCAAAAAAGGAAAAGGCAAAGGAAAAAGTAAAGGAAAACAAGAAGAGACTGCAGAAAAAGTAGAAGTTCATTATCCTGACGATTTTGAAATTGGCAACAATACTCAGGAAAATGTCAGTAGCTTGGAGGAGGATAAAATGAGAGAACGTAAGTATTGGAGAACTTTTTGTTATTTGAAAGAAAATAAGTAGTTTAAAACATATACATTGCTTATTATTTAAAGGGCTGTTCCATTTAAGCATACATGGGACCCAAAGATGGCACTTTAAAAATTGGTAACCACCTATAGATACAAATTTAAAATTTCTCTGTCATTTTCTTTGCCTGAGTCTCATGTATGTTTTCATGGAACAGACCTAAATATTTGCTTTGTTGTTCTTTGAAAGAATTAAATTTTGCTTAGAGCTGTTCCAAAATTTATTGGTTGAAGGGGATGGGACGCACTAACATTTATTTTACCCCACGCAACGAGTTGCGGAGGGTATAATGTTTTTGACCCGTCCGTCTGTCCGTCTGTCCGTCCGTCAGTCCTGTTTCTTGTCATCGCAACTCCTCTCAAACCACACAACAGAATTTCACGAAACCTTTTTAGATAATAAGGACATACTATGTAGTTGTGCATATCGACAGGAAATTACGATTTAATTTTTTTTCTAGGAGTTACGCCCCTTTGAACTTATTTGCCCAATATACTACTGCAACCTTTTGTCATCGCAACTCCTCTCAAACCACACAATAGAATTTCATGAAACCTTTTCAGATAATAAGGACATACTACGTAGATGTGCATATCGACAGGAAATTACGATTCAATTTTTTTTCCAGGAGTTACGCCCCTTTGAACTTATTTGCCCAATATACTACTGCAACCTTTTGTCATCGCAACTCCTCTCAAACCACACAATAGAATTTCATGAAACCTTTTCAGATAATAAGGACATACTACGTAGATGTGCATATCGACAGGAAATTACGATTCAATTTTTTTTCTAGGAGTTACGCCCCTTTGAACTTATTTGCTTCAATAAACCTCTGCAACAGTTTGTCATCGCAACTCCTCTGAAACCACACAACAGAATTTCATGAAACTTTGTAGATAATAAGGACATACTACGTAGATGTGCATATCGACAGGAAATTATGATTCAATTTTTTTTCTAGGAGTTACGCCCCTTTGAACTTATTTACTTTAATGTACTACTGCAACAGTTTGTCATCTCAACTCCTCTGAAACCACACAACAAAATTTCATGAAACTTTGTAGATAATAAGGACATACTACGTAGATGTGCATATCGACAGGAAATTACGATTCAATTTTTTTTCCAGGAGTTACGCCCTATTGAACTTATTTGCCCAATATACTACTGCAACCTTTTGTCATCGCAACTCCTCTCAAACCACACAATAGAATTTCATGAAACCTTTTCAGATAATAAGTACATACTACGTAGATGTGCATATCGACAGGAAATTACGATTCAATTTTTTTTCTAGGAGTTACGCCCCTTTGAACTTATTTGCTTCAATATACCTCTGCAACAGTTTGTCATCGCAACTCCTCTCAAACCACACAATAGAATTTCATGAAACCTTTTCAGATAATAAGGACATACTATGTAGATGTGCATATCGACAGGAAATTATGATTCAATTTTTTTTACTTATACAATTTTTTTTTCTTACAGTTATTTTATTTCTCTAGTGACAATGTGGGGACGTGGGGTATGTGAGCGTGCTCACTAAGGTTCTTTAATTAAATATGGGTGGTTGCATTCCCTTAGAATTTTGTAAGAATTATATGTAAAATGAAATGTTTTATTTTTTTGGGTGGTTGGGGTCCTAAAAAAATGCCTCCCCCTTGGGTTTTTTTCTGGAGCAGACCTTATAGTATAGCAAATGGATAGTGTAGAAAGGTTACACCACATCTTACAATTTTTATCCAGGTGCTAAAAAAAATCATCAGGATGTTAACAAACATGTTGGCATTGAGCAGATAACATCAACAAATTTTACCTTTTTTGAGTAATCAGGTCCTCTTAAAGTTTATAACACATGACATTTGAAAAACAAGGTTTTTGGGGTAAAGATTGCATTCATGAAATTTAATCCCTGATGAGCTGACGATAAGTACAAGTTTTCCAGACTTTATTACCAGTAATGAGATAAAAAAAAAAAATATAGCGCATTGAGCACTATTCATCCTATCCATAAACATTTCAAGAAATTTATCAATGAAATATATATTCAGATATTTAAGTTGAAAAATGATGTGTTGGTGTATAACCATACATGTCAAGAAAATTTCAGATTGGGCCGATCAGCAAAGTTAAATTGTGAATTATCAAGAATGAGGGTCTGAATGGGGAACTTCATTTCTATATTCTTTAATTTTTAAGTCATTTTTCTCTATTGTTCACTAATATTGCCCATTATTCTCAAGACATATCCAAACTCTCTAGCTAAAGAACATTGTTTAAATTGTATTCATTAAAAAATATCCCTCATACTTAATAATTCACAATTTAATTTTGCTGATCGTGCCTAATCTGAATGCATTTGAAGAATAATTATATTCTATATAGCTGAAAACAGGTTAATTTGCATTTCTATTACACACACATGTGCTTCAATTGACCGTCAAACTGTACACTGGACAATTTAACGATATTTTTATGAATGAAACAAAAGGTATGAAAGGTTTGAATTTGCAATTCATACTTTTTTTTGAAATTTTTGTAATACAAGTATTTTTACAATATTGAAAAAGCATGTTGTTTAGAAATTGGAGAAACTTTACAGATCATGCTTTTTCATTCTTTGTAAAAATTATTATTTTGAAGAAAAACATTGAAATTTATTTTACGAACGTCTACGCAAGGTAAAAAGCTTGTGCGTCTTAACTGAAAATAATATTTTTCCATCTCATTAAGCTGTTGTCAGTCAATTTTAACCCAAATGAAAGCAGTGAGTTAACGAAGTCAAAATATGACAGATCTGCCTATTTTTGTACTTAAAAGGTCAATTTGAATTTTACGCTGGATTCTTCTACCTCATGAAATCATGTTAGGCACTATAATAATATCAATGATGTTGTTAAATCAATATTTAAAATTGAATTGGGTCTATCTTCCTTTTTCCTTAATTATAGTTGGTTGAACTACAATTATTACAAATGTATCTCCAAATCATAATATTGCCTTCCAATGCTTAATACAATGCAATGTTTAATTTTTAGTTTGCACTGCAAAATGAATACAAGATTTTTCCTTCAGTGCTCACAAGCACTTTGACGCACTTTGACTATATAAGTTAAAGACATGTGTCATGTATTATAGAATTGTTAATTAAGATTTACCCATTTCTTTAAAAAAAAAAGGCATAATAAAAGATCATGGACTGCAAAAAGTTATTTTTAAAAATAAATTAACTTTATTTTCAAATTTTTTAGCATTCTGTAAGAATAATTGTGTATATTGAATAACTATATTATAAGTGGTCATACTGCCAAACCATTGAAATGAGAACTAGAAAATAAGCTTATGGATTCTTAGGAGACATATTGGATGTTTCTAGTAAACTGTAAATTGTGTTAATTGATTTTGTTAATTAAACAATTGATTGCTTTACAGAGATATCAAAGAAATTGAAAGATAAACCACCAATGTTTCCAAAGGGACCACCCAGTCCTATAATGGCTGGCCATGAACATAAAAGACTCTCTGACCATGGTATGTAAAAATATAGACATATAATTAATAAAAAATAAAATGTATATTGTTTGAGCAATACATAGTGTGTTAGTGCACACGCACGCTCAAAGGCAATGTGAACTATAGCCATAGCTTGGCATCTATTGTCAGTCCTTTGTCTGCCTTCACTTTGATTTTTGATCTTTTTGAGAACCAATGGATAAAATGATTCTTACACAGTCCTAAATAAGTCTTGTTGCTTTGGTTGCTGATTCTTATCAAACATGCCAACAAGCTATTGTAGTTTCTGATTGACTATACTTTGAAAAAGTTCTCTCAAGAGCTGTTTAATTTATTGAAACCAAAGTTGTCAAATATGGTCTTTTAAAGGTTCTTCGGAAGGGTTTTTACTTTGGTGCCAATCTGTATATCAAAGTGTCCACTAGAGGAAGTCTGAGATTACATTTAACCCTAATGGGAAAATGGATTTTGATTTTCCTTTCAAAAACAGTTGTAGGAAATGAAATCAAACCATGCAGGAATAAACAAACTGGAAAGGATATGTTCAATTAAAGGGGAGATATAGTGAAATTAAACAAAAAATGTAAGATATGCAAACAATCTACAGGTCATCATGCAGTCTTCAACAGGAGTCTATACAATCTGACATGCTCCAAGTCTCTAACAGTTTAAAAAATATTGTGAATTAATTTTTACAAACAGAAACTAAGAAGGATCTGTAATCTTCAAAATCTACAAATACAAAAAAAAAATTGAGATATATGACAAATGACAATTACTGACAAGGTTCCGGTAAAATTAATTAACCTACAGCTATAAAACAATATTATTTCATAAACTACAGATTATTGTACAACTGAAAAATTATTAGTTTAGGTCCATTGTTAATAAGAAAAATAAATGAAAAACTTGTCTTTTTAATTTTCTTTCATTTGAACTTTTAAGTCTGCAATTTGTTCTGAATTAAAACACAATCCTAATTTTACATTTACCTGTGATTATGTGACAAGCTTTCAGAATATGTTTAACGTTTACCTGTGATCATATGACAAACTATCAGATTACTTTTATGTTTACCTCTGTTCATATGACAAATCCATCAGAATACATTTTACATTTAGGCCAAAAAAAAATATATGTCTGTTTAAGGTTACATACTTTAAAAAAATAGGGTAGGTAGGTCGGTATTTTCATTTTATTTTTTGTGACATGATTTTGAGTCATGCCGTTTCGACTTGTCGTGGTCCGAGTTGATCATGGGCAGAGTTTGATGATTGGATTATTTCCCTTGGAAAAAAATGGCGGCAAAGTGTTTATTTCACCACACGAGTTGCGAATTTCCATAAAACAGCTGTTATATTCACGATTGTGAACATTGGGATGTATCAGGCAATTGATTTATATCATTTGCAACACTAACTTCGCTTTTGACACGAGTTCAGTTTATTTTTCACTTTACGACAGAAATAAAATGACCAAGGGTCGGCGCTCTAAAGTAGGGTAGGTCGGGTAACCATAAACAGACACATATTTTTTTTTGGCCTTACCTCTGATCATGTGACCAGCTATCAGGATACATTTTACATTTACCTCTGATCATGTGACAAGCTATCAGGATTTTACATTTACCTCTGATCATGTGACAAGCTATCAGGATTTTACATTTACCTCTGATCATGTGACAATCTATCAGGATACATTTTACATTTACCTCTGATCATGTGACAAGCTATCAGGATACATTTTACATTTACCTCTGATCATGTTACAAGCTATCAGGATACATTTTACATTTACCTCTGATCATATGACAAGCTGTCAGGATACATTTTACATTTACCTCTGATCATATGACAAATCCATCAGAATACATTTTACATTTACCTCTGATCATGTGACAATCTTTTGGAAAACATTTTAATTTTCATTAGATTTGGTCAATTTGTTTTACCTGCAAATAGAGTATGTAAGACTAGATTTGATATTTTCAAAGTTGAACCTGAGTTCACCTGTACAATTAAACTTTATATTTACAGGAGAACCTGAGTACACATGTACAATTAAACTTTGTATTTACAGGAGAACCTGAGTACACCTGTACAATTAAACTTTGTATTTACAGGAGAACCTGAGTACACCTGTTCAATTAAACTTTGTATTTACAGGTGAACAAGAGTACAGTAATCAAACCACATCTACACATGTAGCTATTCCTCCACAGGCACATCATTTCACATTCTCCATAGATTTACGCAGCATCAAAGATGTGGACTCATCAACAACATTTTTTGTTTATTTAAAGTTAGTATTTTACAATCAACATGTTTAGGACTTTCCGGTTTTACAAGTTGATTGAATATTATTATAGAATTACTGAGAATTTTCTAAAGAGATAATAAGTAATATGATTTTATCTTCTGTGATGAAAAATGATTTTATCTTCTGTGATGGAAAATGATTTTAGAAATTAGAAGTAAAGATTCTGCAAAAACTTGAACAGATTTCTCAGTATATTACAAATGAGGGTAAAATATATATATATAAAGAGAACCTATATTTATTCTAAAAGCAAACTTCAGACATGTCTCAAGTATGGCCATGACAAGAGCTGTTATGGAGAGGGTACTTGGAGAATGTTTGCTTTCAGAATTAGAACTGTCCAGTGTTCTAGTTAGGATTTCAGGGCCCATAACTATAAGATGCAAAGCACTTACTTTAAGCCTGGTTTGAAATGGGACACCTTGATAAGGTTGATAGATATAAAAAATTGAAAACTGAATAAATTTTTTTTAGATAGATTTAAAGTATTTTAGTGTTTTTATAAAAGCTTTTTTCCAGTGGTCAAACTGATTCATTGTATTGAAAAGAATTTTCAGAAAACTAAAAATGCTTATGGCAGGACTATAAGGGCAGAGTAGTGCACAGAAAGGTCAGAGGGGAGCTGTGTCCTCTATTTTGGGCTAACTAGGACACTGCTGTCAGAGAGCATGCTTGCACCTTGGTTTCAGCATTAAAATATATTCCTTTAAAGCTGTCAAATTCATGTTCATCAATTTGACTCAAATTCTCATATTTGATTTATAACATAATAAAATGTATATCCAAATTATAAAAAGTATAAATTGAACAATTTACAATGCATGGGCTCAATAATATATATCAGCATTTCGTGTGTAATTTAGTCTAGACGCCATCTAATTAACCATCGAGGTGACCTCTGAAGACTGCCGACAGTCATATAACCCGATATAAACATAAACATAAATATAGATAAAAATAGAGAGCAAACTTGTGGAATTGAATTTTTCTAGGTCTGTTTGATTTCATATTATAGGTTAAAAATATATGTTTATCATCGTTTTTACCTGTATAAGATTGAGTTTTTGTGGATCGAATCAGTCAATCAAACGGTTTACCCTTGTTTCACTTTCAATGTTGACATCTTTTTAGTAACTGAACACGCCTAATTCATGCGTAACCCATCTCAAGCTAAGGGGTTAAATTGAAGGCCACATGAATACGGATTCAATGAGGTCGAATTATTCACTTGCAAGTGAATAATTCATCAGCGATGTTTCTTAGCTTATTTTGACAAAATTGAACCAAACTATCTGCTAAAAGCGAATTATTATTTCACCTTTTCACTTTCATTAATGATTGAACAAAACAAAATCTTATTTTAATTTTTTTTTATATCTCGTAGCTAATGCCCTTTTAAGACTTAGGTAGTACTGACGTGACTGATTCATAATTTTTTTTCAGTGATGCTGACTGTTACCAAATGTTGCTATAAAAAAGAATTGTTTTTAATTCAATATGCTACAACAAAAAAAGCATTTTGTACAATGCAATATACAACAAAAATAGAATTATGTATAATACAATAAACTACAAAAACAGAATTATGTATAATACAATATACTACAAAAACAGAATTATCTGTATAATACATTATACTGCAAAAACAAAATTATGTATTATATAATATACTTCAAAATCAGAATTCTGTATTGTACTATATACTACAAAAACAGAAATTATGTATAATACAATATACCACAAAAGAAAATAGAAATTTGAGTGACTGCAATATACTTGAACAAAAGAATGTAGTACAAAGTTTTTTATTATTACTTCTGTTATTATAATATTTATACTGTATGGTGTTGCTGCTTTATTATTAGTTAATGTTCATTTCATAGGTATACGTATCCATTTTTCGGGAGTGCTTCTGCCATTATTACACATCCTCCAGTAGAGATTCGTAGAGGTATGGAGGTACTTCTCCCTCAGTCATTCTGTGCGTTTGACTTTGCCTGCAGTACACAGCAATTACAAGAAACATTCCTAAGGTAAGCTCATATTAGTGGTTAATTATTCTTTGTATCCTTTAATAAAATACCAGTCTGATTTATGCCAAGTAATTTGGACTTGATATTTTTTAAATATAAAGACCTTGTTGGGTTCAGTCCCAAGATTTTTTACTTTTAATACTTATTTTAAAGGGGTATAAGCTGCCAAATAAATGTTTACCGATTTGACTCAAATTCTAATATTTTATTTATAATATACTTAAATGTATGTCCAAATTACAAAAAGTCCAAAAGCAAATAACAATGCATGGACTTTGTTATAATGTACATGTATTAGCATTCCATATTTGATTTAGACTAGATGCCATCTATTTAACCATTGAGATTGAATTTGGTTCCTTATTTGCATGAAGAAGATGACCTATGAAAAATGGTGATGGTCATATGACCCGATATAAACAAAAATATAAAGATAAATACACAAATAAGTCGTGTGCAATCATATGTCAAATTTTCTAGGTCTGTTTGATTGCATGTCATTGATTAAAAAATATGTAACTCATCATTTTACTTGTATAAGAATAATGTTGTGGGTTGAAACAGTCTATGAAATTGTTCTCCCTGGTGGCTCTCCTTGTTTCACTTCACAATTATATCATTCTTCTCACTTAAAAAACTGAACATGTTGAATACATGTACAACCCATCTGTAGCTAAGGGTCAAATTGAAGGGGTATGAATACAGATTCAAATGAGATTGAATTATTGAATTGCAAGCCAATAATACATCAGCGATGTTTTTGAGCTTATTTTGACAAATTTAACAATACTGACTGTTAAAAAGAAAATATTACTCCAAAGTCCCCTTAATAAATGTTTGAAAAAGAAAGAAAAAAATCATCTTATTAATTCCCCTTTACTGCATTTATTCTTATAATTCCAGATTAAAAAAAAAATAAATTTTTTTGTTCATAATATATCTCATAATAGAGAAGAATTTTGGAAATAATTCTACGATTTAAGTAATATTTTATTCCATTTGTTTATATATTTCAGAGTTCCATTGATGGTGGAGGTTTTCCATAGAGATAAGCAACAGTCAAGAGATATACTTGTTGGTGTAACTAAATTGCCATTAGAACAGATCATTTCAACTGATAAAAATAGAATTTCGGTAATATCCATTATTCATAAAGAAAATCAAAAATTTTGCCTGTTATGTTGAAATACTATAATATTCGAATACTTGAAGCAACATAATGTATTGAATATTTTTTTTTTATCACAAATAACTTTTTTAAATGTCTGCTTTTCTCTTTTGTGTAAAAATAAGCTGTCCATACCAATGAAGTTAATAGCAGCTCAAATACAAATTTGTTATTTACTAAATACTGATTTAATATCTACACATTCAAAGTTTGTACACTTATCTCAGTGTCTTTCTTTATAACTTGATAATAAGGGCTATTCTGTTAAATTTGTTGTGGAAGGATAGTTAGCAACTCGTGAAATACTTTCACTACCAACATACTTTTTTGGGTAGTTTTGCATACATAAAGTTAGTATACAACCATAACTGACCTTAGACCCATGTAAAAAAATGTCTTTCTTACCCTCACACATCCATATTAATGGAATATCCTTAATATTTAACATTTTGTCTCAGAGCTTTTAATAGAATTTAGTACTGTTTGAGAAGAAGAAAATAAATATAAACCAAATTTTTCCCTTGTGCTTCAAGAAAAGTGTAAAATGCATTCAGAGCTTATAGATTACTCACCTATTTTAAAATATCTTGATTTATCAGTTATTACTCAAATTCTTATGTACCAGCTAGTAATAATGACTTTGTTGTTTTTTAGAGTAATACAGGAAGTACAGGTTGGAGGCAGAGTTTTGGAGATAGAATCAATGTCGTTTCTCCAGAAAGGTAAATTTGAAGATGTGTGACCAGGGAGGGATCTAGATAGGGGGTGACTAAGGGGCCACGGGTCACTCTTTCTTTTCTTTTCCTTTGGGTTTCCCTTTTTGAAAACCCATTGTGATTGACCTTTTTTTTTATAGTGAACATATCTCAACTTTCAACATTCAGGTTTTACTGCAAGTGTGAATTGATTAATTTTATTACTTCTTTTATCATAAATGTGACGGCCACATAGATTTGTCTCGTATAATACAGGAATTTAAACTTTAAGTATTTGTCAGCTTTATTTTTTTTCATTTATTTTAGCATCCAGTTTAAGTTCTTATTCAGCACACCAATATTTTGCTATTTTTCCCTGTCACTTTATGACACAGGGACTAGTAATGACCATATTCTGATCCTATGCTTTCTTTAGTCTCACTTTCTTAACCTTATGTGGGGTCAAAATAGGAAACTCCTCCCTTAAGCAATGCTTTAGTGACTTTTTGGGGAAATTTAAATGTATTCTATTATAAGTTTTCTGATTTGGTGTTTCTACATAGAAGTACTTACAGTAGATGATTGATAATGTGTGTGATGTTACAGTACTTGTATGTTTTGAAGAGAATATGAAGGTTCTATATTGAACCAAAGTGGAATTAGTGTGATAAAGTGTGTTTATAAAAAAGTACATAAACTAGAACATTGATAGAGAATTTTAGGGTTTTAAGTTGTACTTCAGTGGAAACTACATATTTAAATGTAAAGTTTTGTGATAAGGTGTTACTATAAAGAAGTGCTCATACTAGACCATTATAAAGAAGTGCTCATACTAGACCATTATAAAGAAGTGCTCATACTAGACCATTATAAAGAAGTGCTCATACTAGACCATTATAAAGAAGTGCTCATACTAGACCATTGGTATTTGGTGTGCATTAGTATTATTTCATTTCATTCTCAATCTCATCCCCTTAGTAATTCCTCAGAGACTGAAATTTTATGCATTTTATGAGGCATGTTTATAGAGAATGTTATGAAGTGTACGTTATTAGTCATTCCCCAACACTTCTGTGTGTCCTTCCAAGTGTCAGTTGGATCTGCTCTCACATCTACAAATCTTGCCACATTTTTATGAAATTTATATCAAAGGTTTATATTGACAATTTTGAAAATCAGTGCAGATCAATTATTTATAAAGGAATTATACACTTTTGAAATATGAATTATAAGGAAAATTGTAAGTGATCTCAAACCTACATTTCTTGAAGGATTGATATGAAATATATATCAAAGATTAAATTCGAAAAACAGAGCTGATCAAGTATTTTTACAGGAGTTATGTCCCTTGGAAATAAAATTTGTAAAGGAAATTACATTGAAGGCCCTCGCAAGCCTACATTTTTGTAAAAGATTTTTATGAAATTTGTATCAAAGGTTTAAATCAATGGCGTATTGGACGAGTTTGAAAATCAGTGCCAATCAAATATGTCACTTTAAAATGAAATTTAAATAGAAAATTGCAATTACATTGTAAGCACTCTCACACCTATATTTCTTGTTGTATTTTCATGAAATTTATATAATAGGTTTTTATCAGCAAGGTCCTGGAAAAGTTAGATAATCAGCACCAATGAACTATTTTTACAGGAGTTATGTCCATTGGAAATAGAAATTATATAAAAATTAACATTGTCAGCAATCTCAAAAAAAAAAAAAAAATAGTGAAGAACAAATTTTTTTTAGTTATTACCGTTGGACACATAAAATATGTGCATTAGCAGGGGCATTGGAATTTGGAACTCTTTTCTTTTATTGCAATTTGTTTACTGAGAAAACTTCACTTTATACTTTAACACTGTTTCTAAATCCAAGTCACTTCTCTAAAATAATCATTTGTTTATTTATAGTGAAAAGAAGGTAGGAGACATTAGTATGGTGTTAAGTTTAGAAGACTGGGGACCAATCTCAGCACATCAAATTGTTGTACAGCAAGAAACAACCAATGTGAGTACTCCAGTAACGCATACATATTCTGTACATTATTTTACAAAAGCATAGTGGAGAACTATAATTTTATTTGTCATTTTAGCATACTTGATGATGGTTTATTAAGAAACCACAACAAATAATGTCGTCGTTATATCAAAATTTTTGTTGTTGGTACCGTCTTAATGCAGATGTTTTTTTCCTTTATGCAATATCTGTTTCAAGAAAATTGTTTTCATTTTATGAGATTGAATTTTGCAGTGACAATTGATAAAAGTCCACAATATAAAATTTTATGGTTTGCAGAATTTGAACATTGTATGTATGTGTGGTATAAGTCAGATGGTAAAAAGAAAAATACATGATCTTTTTTGTTTACATGATTGCAATTTTCTAGGTACCTAGTCATCCTCCTGTAGAACACAAACAACCACCCAGAGCACCGTCACCAGTAGAACCAAGGGAAACACCTGAATACCAAGCTGCAATTGAACTGGAGTTGTGGAAAGAAACTCAAGAAAAGAATTTTGAAAATCAGGTATGACAAAATCTATCATTATAGAATTGTAGTGTTTATCAAGCTTTTGTAAGCATTTTCACTCATTTATTTTAACTGAGCAAGCAGCTATCAACACCAAAACAACGTGCCAAAATATGGTGTTCCAACAGTCCATGCTTATATTCAAGGAGGTCTTGTATAGATCAGGGAAAAAGCAATACCAAATGTAGTAATGAAAATGTAGATCATTATTCTGTATTAAAATTGATATAGGAGTTTTTTTTTCTTTTTCAGTTAAAGCAAAAGGAGGCATCTTACATGAAAGCACTTGCAGAAGAATGGAAGAAAAGAGACAGAGAAAGAGAAATACTCATGAAGAAAAAGGTAATTTAACTCTGTTGTTGTAATATCTTTAATGCCTGACACCACGGTTTCTTAGGAGGTGCATAGAAATACCACAATTAGATCAAATACAAATGCCATTCAGAAATGATTAAAATGTTTATTCTTTTAACAAAACAATCAGATAACATGTTAGGATAAGAATTTAAAGTAAAGGTCTAATTTTTATGCCCTGTGAGGGTAGGAAGGAAATTTTTTTTTTTATAAATGGGTTGTTGGTAATTTATGGTTGTATATCTATTTGATTTATGTATGCAAAATAACTCAAAGAAAATATGTTGGTTGTTGATGGAATTTGTAGGTCCCTTCATACCTTCCCACATCCTATTTAATGGAATAGCCCTGTTTAAATGTGTTAATTTTGTCATTACAACTTAGCAGATGTCGAAATGCTAGCTATTGTGTCATAGATGAAGATAGGGCACTAGAACATATATTTGTTTACTTTGATACTATTATAGGATCTTTTAAACTGTGTCATAATCTCCGGACATTAGCTCTCTAAAATATGGAGCAAGTTAGCAAAATAGCGGTACTGAAAAATGCTTACAAACTTTTTGTTTAAATAAGTACGATAATTTTTACTAGTTGAAGTAGTTCAAATTTTTGAAAGATTTGAATCAACATATGAATCGATCTTTTAATCGTTCAATCCTGATTGAGGAGAATTATGATATCGAAATAAATATCAAGTGAAAATAATAAAGAAGAAATAAGTAGCGAAACACACCCAAGCCAATTCTGGACTTTATACATCCACTTTCCTGTATTCAATCATTTACGAGACCATGGCGTCATCCAAAGAAGTAAAAAGGGGGCATGGCGTCATTTATTAGGACAGAAAAAGGGCATGGCGTCTATCCATGCTAAACATACCTGGGGGGAACACTTTACTAGGTTACTTGATGTTTTTCTAAAGGCTATTCAGTTTGATTTATTGATGCCTGTACTGAATCAGACTTTCTTGTCTCACTGTGACTCAGTTAACTTTTTTTATTTTCTTAAAGTCAGCTTTTGTTTGCCAAAATTGTGCTAACTTTTGTTATTTTGTTTAATCCTGTTTGTAACCCAGCGTTCTCTTTTTTTTTATAGTTGGCAGAGTATTCACAGCTAGAGGAACAGCTAAGGAAAACATTAAAAGATTTAGAAAAACGAGAGAAACAGCTAGCTGCTAATGAACAAGAAGTTAATAGATTAAAGAAGGATTTACAGAGAGAACATGATGCCAAACTTCAGGAAATGAAAGAGGCTTCTAGACGTATGAAGGATGATGTTGATCATAAAATAGAACTTGAAAAGTTAGTTGACAGTCATCAGAAATTATCTGATAGATTAACAGGAGAAAAAAAAAATAATTACATGAAAAACCTTATAAACCTGTTCTTGAATAAGCAGACATTGATTTTTGATTTCAACTAAGATAAAACTTCAATGCATGCAGATTACATACTTTTTGCTTTATAAGTAGAAAAGATAGATTGTTAGTATAAATGGAGCATCTCTACAAGTATTTCAGGATTGATAACATGTCAAAAAAGTAAAGATAATTTTATTCTATACTCTATAGTTAAGCATGCAGCATTGAAAAAAAATCAAAGAAATATTTAACATTTTAATGCTTTAATTGCATGATGTAAATTGTTTTTAACTGTTGAAAGGAAAATGGTAAGTTGCCTTTTTCAACTGTTGTTGGTCTCTGTTTGGCAGATGTTAAATTTACTATTAAAGAGTTATACAGTCGACTCCACTTAATTGCATACCGCTTAATAGCATAATTCGGTTAATTGCATAGTTTTCTCCTGCACAAAACCATTTCCCATTCATCTAATGTTAAATTGTCCGATTATATGCATAGCTCTACAAGTGGCCTTTCGGTTTATTGCATAAAAAATTATCGCCATCTAGATATGCTTGGTTAAATCTGTCGAAATTTTTGACCGGAAACGGCAAGTTGGTGGGTATATTTTTCTTGAATGCATCATTATTTTCATTATTATTTCATATTTACTTTTGTGTTATTCAAATAAAGTTTTAAAACAGTTTCTTTCGTGTTTATATGATTGAATTTGATTTAAAAATAAACCTCGAGATCTACACAGGTAAAGTTTCCCATGTTCTATTTTAAGCCTCGAGGTCATAAAAATGTCAAACAGGTAATTGTTGTAAAAACACTGATCATTCTATCTGAAAAGGTGTAAATAATTGATTGGATTTCAAACATTGTCCTAAGATTACATTTGGGATGAAATTCAAAAACAATAACGCCTGCTAATTATCGATCATTATCCAATGTGAACTCTCGTAATTGGGCTTGGGGTGATCTGCATTTATGTTAAATATTACAGGGCATTTATATATGGTTAAAGAATTTTATACATCAATCATTTAATTTTAATATATTTTGAAAAGAGCATTTACTTCTAATTATTATATTTTCTCACTTTCAATACTCGTGTCCAGCAAATAACCCGTATAGGGCCCCATTACTGCTTTGCATATACGAAACTAACGAAGTTAAATAAACAGGGTTACTTCACTCTGCAAGCTGTAAATATTATATATCAAAGGCAGTTTAGTACACATCTATTGTTAAAATGATTATAAACTGTGTAATTTTTGTTAAACAGTTTATTTTAATCAAAGCGTCACAATGTACATTGTACATACGGGTCATAGAAACAAATCTATTTTTAGAACGAATTTATTTTCGTATCCCAGGTAAACTGGTAAAGGAAACGTCGGTACGCAAATAAACTAAAACAAAATGTGTTTATAATCTTTATTGAAATAATACAAAATAAAATAACATGTATGACACTAGACATTTAACTTTTATTAGAATAAATCAGCATTCAATATGTTGTAATTGGATTATAGACGTTCATCTTTCTTCAGGGATTTCCTTTACTGATCTGTTCTATCGATGTTATTTGACTCCGTAATTTGGCATTTCGGATATAAGCATACTCCGCTTTATTGCATAATTTTGTCTGGCAAATAGGCTATGCAAATAACCGGAATGTACTGTACTGTTTTATTTGTGAAAGAGAAGGCAGTGATATCTTTGATGTAGTTCAGATCAAGGCTTCCAAAATGGTCATATATGCCGGACATTTGTATAATGTCCGGTAAAAGTCCGGCTGGGCAAAGCATGAAACGGTCATCTACTTTTTAGTTATCAAGGCTTTAAGAGACGGTCATTTTAACAGAATTCGATCTTTTTGACCCAACGTTTTGCCTTTAACAGCCACACATTTCCAGTCATAAAAGTGACATGATCACTAAGTACTATCAAAACAACCCCTACTTTAATACCTTCTCATTTTAATCAAGGCTAATTAGTTGTCGAACAGCTGAAATTTACCTGTTCAGGTGACAGGTAAACTATTTTGAACCGGACATTGATCGGTCTATTCAAAGTTATTTTCTTACATTTCAGCGGTTTGAATCTAATATAATTTAGTCAAAAAGATTTAAATTATCAGAAATACGTTTACAAATATGATATGATGAAAAAAATAAAAAGGTGAAAATGAAACATCGTCATAACCACGTTGTTCGAACTAGAGACATGTCTCTGTTTGAACTAGTACACGTGTGCGCATGTGTGAAATTTAATTATGCATCCTAATTTCTTCAAAAAATTCTTAAATTGTCATTGATACCTTTATCTCACGTTTATTTCGAATATTTTCTTAAAGAAATAAGGTAGAAGGAGCTACTTCCACTCATTCATGCTTTGCAAACGTACACAGAATTTACGTATCCGTCTCTGGTCCATGTTTTATCATTGTCAAGATAACATCCGGTATTAGATTTAAAAACGAAAGTAAAGTTTTTGACAACGTTATTTTGCACATATAAAGAGTCTAAGGCAAATATAAGTACGCTGATGTAATTTATTGTTGCACACTTCGAATGATGCACTGCCAATTTAACAGTTTACGTCAGAACTTCAAATTTGAATCAAAGAAAGTTTAATATCGTTTTTTTATGTCAGTCATTGGGATGGCCAACTCAGCAACTGATTACCATAATTGCCTTTTGTTTATTTAGTCTTAAGGGATTAAAATCGGGATAATATATAAAATGTCCGGCTGGCTAAAAATAATTTTGGAAGCCCTGGTTCAGATATCCCTAATTTCTAGAGTTTTTAATGGGTTTTTTCATACTTGACATGAATAAAAACTAACTTGCATTGCAGGATTCTAGGAGAAGAGTATTTATCTTATTGATAATTCAATATTTGTTTTCAGATCAAAAACAAAAGAGATAGAAAATTTAGTAGAGAGATATAAAAGAGAGGTGAGTCAGTCAGCATTGATTTGATGAGAGGGGGTAATAGGTGAACCATGGTATGGTATAGTTTGATCAACTTGGGGTATCTATAAGGTTTTTGAAAAAAGTAATATTAAATATAGTTAAGTTATTTTCTACTGTAGTCATGGTCATGGAAATTTGAAGGCAAAAAAGGATTTTAAACTGATCATTTGTTTTTCTTTAAAATTTACAGATATCCTATTGTAATTATCTCCCTTTACCAAATTTCACTAAATCTGTTAAATAAGGTGCAAGGAGTTTGAAAATTTGAAGTTTATGTCTATTAGTTATTGATATAACACTTTCTGCATACAGGATCTGATCAAATTGTTTATTACTGTTTTAGCTGAATGAAGCAGAAATGAAGTTCCATAAATTGGAGAAAGATTTTGCTGTCTATAAAGAACAACAGAATACCAAACCAGAAGTCCGACTTCAGGCAGAAATCAATCTTCTCACTTTAGAAAAGGTAATTATTATTATGAAAAAATTATGTCTTCTGATGAAATATAATTTTTTTTTACATGAAAATGCCTTTTTACACTGTCTTACTTCTTGTGAAAAATGGATCAAATCATTGAGTGTTACGTGTTTATAGCAAAGTATTGACTGTAGAAAATGGCCCATATAATGTGGGGATTAAAATTTAAGTTGAAAGCCAGTTATATTTTAAACTTAGCAGTCTTAATCAAAGTAAGAAGAGAATCAGAGTATTGTACAGGAAAACTTATTGGCATTTAATATAACTAGTCATTTTTTTTAACTTTTTATCAGGTTGAACTAGAAAGAAAACTTGATGCTGTAAACAAGTCAAAAGTACACTACAAACAACAATGGGGGAGGGCATTAAAGGAACTGGCTAGACTGAAACAGAAGGAACAAACTGCAGCTAAAGCAGAATTAAAGAGACAACAACAGGAGTTAGAACATATGAGGTTACGATATCTAGCAGCCGAGGAAAAGGAAGTGGTGAAATCTGATAAGAAGGAACTAGAGGAAATTAAGAATGAATTAAATAGGTAATTCAGTTTATATGTAGATTGTGAAATCTTATAAGAAGGAAGTAGAGGAAATTAAGAATGAATTAAATAGGTAATTCAGTTTATATGTAGATTGTGAAAACTTATAAGAAGGAAGTAGAGGAAATTAAGAATGAATTAAATAGGCAATTCAGTTTATATGTAGATTGTGAAATCTTATAAGAAGGAAGTAGAGGAAATTAAGAATGAATTAAATAGGTAATTCAGTTTATATGTAGATTGTGAAAACTTATAAGAAGGAAGTAGAGGAAATTAAGAATGAATTAAATAGGTAATTCAGTTTATATGTAGATTGTGAAATCTTATAAGAAGGAAGTAGAGGAAATTAAGAATGAATTAAATAGGTAATTCAGTTTATATGTAGATTGTGAAAACTTATAAGAAGGAAGTAGAGGAAATTAAGAATGAATTAAATAGGTAATTCAGTTTATATGTAGATTGTGAAATCTTATAAGAAGGAAGTAGAGGAAATTAAGAATGAATTAAATAGGTAATTCAGTTTATATGTAGATTGTGAAAACTTATAAGAAGGAAGTAGAGGAAATTAAGAATGAATTAAATAGGCAATTCAGTTTATATGTAGATTGTGAAATCTTATAAGAAGGAAGTAGAGGAAATTAAGAATGAATTAAATAGGTAATTCAGTTTATATGTAGATTGTGAAATCTTATAAGAAGGAAGTAGAGGAAATTAAGAATGAATTAAATAGGTAATTCAGTTTGTATGTAGATTGTGAAATCAAAAAGAAGGAACTAGAGGAAATAGGTAATTCAGTCTATATATAGATTGTAACGATGAAAGAGGCTGTATATTCAGAAAATTTTGTGTGCATTTATTATTGCAATTGTTGAACTATGTTGTGTAAAGATGTGGTATGATTGCCAATGAGACAACTCTCCACGAAAGACCAAATGGCATAGAAGTTAACAATTATATGTCAATGTACGGCCTGCAACAATTAGCAAAACCCATATGCATAGTCAGCTATAAAAGGCCCCGAAATGATAAATGTGAAACAATTCAAACGAGAAAACTAACGGCCTGATTTATGTAAAAACAATGAACTAAATACAAATATGATATACAGCAACAAATGTCAACCACTGAATTACAGGCTTCTGACTTTGGGACAGGCACATACAGAATGTGGCGGGTTAAACATGCTAGCGGGAGGCCAACCCTCTTCCTAACCTGGGACAGTGGTGTAACAGTACAACATATGAACAAACTATAAAAATCAGTTGAAAAGTGCTTTATTTTCAACCTATGAGTTTGAATGTCCCTGTACAAAAATATGAGATAAATTATTGCCATTTCAGGAAATAATTGCATATAATCAATATTATCCATATTTAAAATGTGATTTAATTCTTGCAACACCTATTCTGTGGCAATAGTAAAAACATCACACATATACCTGAATTTACAGTAATTGAACATAAAAATCTGTACAGATTTAGGGATCTAAATTATTACAATTATTATTTTAAATCTAAAACAAAATTATGACTTACATTTTCCATATAATGCAAACAGACATTCATAGTCGTACAATTCATTCTATTGATAAGCAAGATAAACAGAACGTACACATTTCAAGTATTTGTTTGTGCTTTATGTTGTTTGCTTAACATCAGGTTAAGTTGAAGAAAACATACAAAATAGGTGATAAGGGAAATTTTGCCAAATGATTGCATAATGTACCAATATCTATGGTATGTTTCATTTAGACATGCATGGTACCCAGGGAAGGCACTTTGAAAACAGGATTACTTATCAAAGTTGAAGCTTTGGAGACATACATTTTTAACTTGTACAGCACAATATTTTAAACCAACCCATAGTGGCAAATTCATGTTGCCATCCCTTTGTCCCATTATGTAATTATGGAATATCCCTAAACATAAAACATCAGTCCTAAATGTGCAAATTGAAATAATGAAATTAAACCGGAAGGTTGACCTTCACAGTTAAAATAGCAGTAATTGACAATTTGATTTGTAATGATTATTCTTTAGGTTAAAACAACTTGAAGAAGAAAAGTTAAAGAATTCGTTTGAAAATAGTCCACGGGAAATGGATGGTATGAGACCACTGAAACCAGATTTAGACGGCAGTATAGATGAACATATAACAAGACTTATTGAAGAGCGTGATACTTTGTTACGGACAGGTGTTTATAGTACGCAGGACAGAATTATCGCTGAATTAGACAGACAGATTAGAGATTCAATGATTCAGAAGAAAACAAACAACTTGTGAAATTGAAAGAGATAGTTATATATTGGAAGCTTGTCTGTGATAAAAACATTGTTTATGCCCCGAAATAGTCATCAGTCAATTCGTTTTTTTGAAGGAAGCAAAGCATAGTGTAAAAGTGGTTTCAAATCATTGTGATTGAAAAGAATTTTGTGGCCATTTTATTGTTCATTATTGTAGAAAAAGTTTTTTGTTAAAGGGCTAATTTCTATGGGGGAATGACAAACAGTAAAATTGAACCTGTAGAATAGAGAATGTGGTTTTTAGTCATCTACTTTCATTAAAGGTTGTTATTTAGAATACACACATGTATATTGAAACTTATAATAATATCAAAATTATGTTTATTCCTGGAACAAATCACAATTTACGACAGAAATTTATGAACTAACAAGTTAACTTCTTAATTGGTCACATTGTTGTCTCTATTTTATTCAAATGGATCCAGTCCAAGGGGAGGCAATCTGCAGAAATTATAATTTACTGGGAAAAAAAGTTACAAGAAGCTTGTGTTTGACCTTTTGCAGTAGTTAATTTCAAAGTAAAATAACTAAATTGGAAAAATCATTTGTGGTGCTGATAAGGGAAATATAATGTTTAAATATAATGTGTTAAATATGAAGTGATCTTAAAGGTAAAAATCATGATGCAAGTACATACAAATAGTTTCAAACTTTCAATGTGTAGATGCTTCATCATGTTCATGTTTAGTTATGTAAAAATTCTATTATCCCATTGTTCATTGTGAATGAAGTCTGGCACTAATCATATTGTGGTAGTAATAAAGTCAGTCACTACAAAGCATCTGGATTAGTTTATTTTGTTCTGGTATCACATGTTTGAATAGCAGTGCAACTTAGCAATCATATCTTTTAAAGCTTTTGTACATTGTAGATTAATCAGTTTACCAAGTAGCCAGAGAAATATGCATTTCATCAAACCTATCATCTCATTGTTAATTTTATTATGGAAATTGTTCATACTTGAAATAAAAAAGTTTTTGTTAAACTTTCATCTGTCCGGTTACATTCCTAGTCCATGTTCGTTAAGCATTTATATTTTACATGTCAGATTCTGTTTAAATTTTTCTGTTGTACCTAAATAATATCCATCAGAGAAGTTAAGCTATAAAGCTTATCATATTCTGGAAACAGTCATATATGCCTGATAAAACAAGATTCTGAAAGGCCAATGAGAGTTTATAATCATCAAAGATATTTAATTGCAATTTTGCACTAAAGTGTGTTTGCATAACTTCAACAAAACCTATTGACAGTTATGATTTATAAAATTCTTAATATTTTCTTCCTTTTTTTTGTCTTTCTGTGATGTAAGTGACAGGAGCAAGACTAATGCATGCTGCTTTAGGCGTTGGCAGTGTCACCAATTGTTAAAGTTTGTGTTTTGGTCATACAGTTTACATAAGTATCATGGCAGTATTTACTATTTCTCAGACCTACAGAGGATTAATGGTGTCTTATGTGATGGACAGTCTTCATATACAATTCATTGATAAGATGTATCAAATAGGCCATCATTTATAGAATTAAATATCAGAAGTCTTGTACTCACTGTAAATCTTATATCTTAGTTCCCCCTCTTATTGTTATTTTAGTCCCCCCTCTTATTTTTTTTTTAGTTTTCTCCATCCTATGGTTATTATAGATTCAATGAATAAACTTTGAACATAGATATAACTCAGAATCATGTTACACCTGTAATTGCTCTGATTCTATGTGAAAGTGATGGTGTTTTTATATATGATTAGTTTTAAAATGTCAAAAATGTCCTTCAGGTTCTTTTGTTTTTTAAATCAAATTTGTGCATACAGCCATTGAATTTATTTTAGTGATATTATATTTTATTGTTGACATTTTTATTTATTTATTTATACAAAACTGAATTGTACATAGAAAATTTATACCAGTGTAAATGTTTGAATGAACATATATAGTTATATATATGTTTTATGGAAATATGCAGCAAGATGCCATAATGCATTAAAGAAATAAAAAAAAATATATACTAGCCTTCAATTTTGTGTTCTTTTTAAGCATGCTTCAGCAACATGACCTTCATTTTCTTTGGATTGAATTTAGTGTGTAAATGTTTGGTGTGAAGGTTCTTTTCTGAAGATTTAATCTTGATAGATCAATGCTATTTTTTATTATTACTTTTAATAAGAATAGCACTTTATAAATTTGGTGCACTTGAACACTTTTCTGAATTTACTTTATGTCTGTCCTTCATCTCTCAGTCAGTCTTATGGAAAATTTACTTTCCCAACATCTCTTCCGAAACCACTAGGCCAAGCTGAACCACACATAGCTGAAAAAATACAATGAATGTCTTTTATAAGATTTACTCATTTTATTCCAATAGGATGGATACATGTGTGCAATCTTTTAATTCTGATTGGCAAATTTTCTAACTTTTTCTTCTGAAATTTCATACTGTCATACAAGTGAGATGTTTAGCTAGCTATAAAATCAGGTTTAATCCACCATTTTCTACATTAGGAAATGCCTGTATGAAAAGTCAGGAATATGACAGTATTTTTTGATTCATTTGATGTGTTTGGAGCTTTTGATTTTGCCATTTGATAAGAGACTTTCCGATTTGAATTTCCTTGGAGTTCGGCTTTTTTGTTATTTTACTTTCTCAAGCAGAAAGTTTTAAATGGTTTGAATCTTTAGGAGATTGATGGTGGGATATAATTAAAACCATGTGCCACATCAAATTTTTATCATCTTCTTTAAAACTTAGTTGCCAAATTTGAATCAAACTTGTCAAAATGATGTATTTATGGATTTCTTCAAACAACCTTCCTGTTGTTTCAATTGGATAAAGAACATGGCTGCCTGATGCACGCTTTGATTGTTGTGTTTGTTTCTAAAATCTTCTCTGAAACTACAAGCTAAATACTTTTAATTTTTAGGTGATATAGGTAGGAACAGCCTCTACCAATAGACCTCATTAATGTTGATCAGGTGGAAAGCATGGCATCATTGGTGAAACAATTGGGAAAATCACATTTCATTGTCTTCTCTGAAACTAATTTGCCAATTTTGAAATATATTTGAAAGTCCTTAACAATTGATCCTTATTCGATTCCAATCGTTGTAAAGTCATTTTGGTTGGCAAATTTTCAAAAATGTATGAAACTGTAAGACAGAAGGTTTTAAAACTATAGGATCAATAGTTTAATGACTTTCAACAGTGTTGATGCTCAATTAATGATGATTAGTTTGCCCACATTGCAGCTTTTTCCCAGGAGGAAATCCTGGATAATCTTAGGTCTGTTCTATGTTCCTTTGGAATTTCAACCAAAGATGAAGAAATGGATCTTCCATCACTGTATTGGATACATAAACTACTTAAGTGTCCTCAAAACAACCTTATATTGCTGGGTCTTTCCAAGTGCTCCACGAAACCCCTTTCTATATTATTAACGTCAATTTTATCAGCAATCAAAGCCGGGCTTCAAAGGTATTGTGAAACTACCTATTCTAGAGGTGGCGTGAATCAGTTGTAGATACTAAAAAAAAACCAGATCTTTTAGAGTACATACAATCTAAGGTACTTAAATACTGTAAATATGTTTACAATTAGTTTCATGTAATGAACACTGGTTTCACATCAAATTTGTTCTCATCCGTACCTCGGTTTTAATTACATGTACTTGAGAATTGTTAACTACATGTACACGAGAATTGTTAACACCAGTTAACTACATGTACACGTTATTTACATGTACATTACATAGAACTGAATAGAAAATTTCTCTGTAAACTTTTGTATCTGTAAGGCGCAGACCAATTCTAATTAAAAAAAAAATGGGTGGGAGGTTGATGAATTGTAGAAATTACAATTCTTTTTTTAAAAAGGTGCCTCGGTGGCCGAGTGGTCTAAGTAGTCGAACTACTGTATCACTAGCCTGTCAACACTGAGGTTGTGAGTTCGAATCCTGCACGGGGTAGGTGCACACGACGCCAATCTTAATTGACTAGGATTGTCAGTTTTTCTTCCGAAGGTCGGTGGATCTCTACGGGCATTGAAAAGTAAGGGTGCTCATTCAACATGGATTTTTAAAAATGCTCATGTATGTTAATGAGAAAAATGTTTTTATTATTAAAGTAATAAAAAAAACCGTTTGTGCCACGAAGATGGTTGGTCGATACCTTAAGAAAATCGTTCTATTGATTGGGAGAACTTTGATAGTTCTAAAGATGCATCGATTACACAGGCTAAAGCAGTGTTACAATAAGCAAAACAAGTATTTTTGAAATGATTGCTTAACATCCAATGGCAAATATTTCATACATGTTCAGGACGATAACAAACTCGAAATAAATACAATAGTCCTGTAAAGGAAGCCTTCCCGGATGAAAATCAGAAGAGTATATGGGATAGCGACAACAATTTTGCCTAGCAACAGGCCACCTACGGACCCATCAAATGAATATTTTGTCCTACAAAATGCAGGACCTTGCAAGAAATAGATGTGAAAATAAACAAGCTGTACTATCAACAGGTGTAAAATGAATATTCCATTAGCAAATAATTCCCCTCCTGAAAATCAAATGGCTATTTAAATTTAATCACGTTTTTAACTTAGCAATTTTTGAGTTTTTTTCTCATTTAAATAGGTAAATAACTTAATTCATAATATTATTATGATCATTTTTATTCAAAATATGTAACTTCCATAAATATTCATAATAAAATCCACGCTCTTAATATATAGTTAAATGTACACTTAACCCACGCAAGGCCTACATTGACTATCGACTGCATGTGGTCAAAACCTGATTTAAACTACATGTAAATAAAGGCAACAGTAGTATACCGCTATTCAAAATTCATTATCAATGGGAACGCTATATAGTTTAGTTTAAGTGTCGAGTACACCTACACCACACCACAGCGAGTTAAGCTCAGTGTGAACACGGCCCAAAGCTCTTCCATCTTGCAATAGTATTAAAACATTTGACTTTTCAACACTTTACACAAGTATTCCCATTCGGAACTAAAAGACAAATTGAAAGAGTTGATCCTGCTTTTTTCATAAAAAAGAATGGCCTACGTAGTTACAAGTATCTTGTCTTAGGGAGGGATAAATCGTACTTTTAGCAGTATCCTTTAACTTTACTTTCCGCTGTATAGATGATGTACTCTCACTAAATAATTCAAAATGTCATGACTATGTTGAACGCATCTATCCCATCGAACATGAGATAAAGGATACAACATATGCAGTTAAGTTTGCCTCATATATTGACTTACATCAAGAAATTAACAATGAGGGTCATTTGAAAACAAACTTTACGACAAAAGAAATGATTCCATCTTCCCAATTGTGAACTTTCCATTTTTATGTAGAAACATTCCAGCACCGCCTGCATACGGAGTATATATCTCCCAGTTGATACGATATTCCCGGGCTTGTATTTCCTATCATGATTTCCTTGATAGAGGGTGCTGCTGATAAGGAAGCTATTAAACCAAGAGTTCCAAGTGGTGAAGCTGAAATCATCCCTTCGTACATTTTACGGATGCCATCACGAATTGGTTGACCTTTATGGAATATCCGTTTCACAGGTGATAGAGGATATATTCCAGTTTTTGTAGCTACAATCCGTCCCCTTTTCCCCGAATGTGACCTACCGAATTAGACTTATCATCTGGTTTGTACTAACATAAGCAACACGACGGGTGCCACATGTAGAACAGGATCTGCCTACCCTTCCGAGATCACCCCCATTTTTTGATGGGGTTCGTGTTGCTCAGTCTTTAGTTTTGTATGTTGTGTTTTGTATATTGTTGTTTGTCTGTTTGTCTTTTTCTTTTTTCAGCCATGGCGTTGTCAGCTTATTTTATACTTATGAGTTTGAATGTCCCTTTGGTATCTTTCGCCTCTCTTTTTCGGTACATATGGCTGAATCTTGCCAAACTTCGTAGTAATGATGTTTTGATGGATTCCTTCATAAGATCTTCACCACTTCCTTTTAAATTCTTCTACTTTGACTACAAGATAACATGTTGTTTTTTTAGTTTAGGGGACTAATGAAAAAAGAAACATCAGTAGCTAAGTTTATCAGAAGTTATCGTTTTTGAGGATTTAAAGGGTAAATGAGAAGGTTAGATAAGATCAATTATTTGGCAGCTGAAATTGCAAATAAAAAAAAAAAAAATTATTGAAGCCTTTTAATATTGTGTTAATGTTATTGATATTTGAACAAGTTGTTTTAATTTAAACTACGAAGAGGGATGTCGCTATGACATCAAAAGCATGGAAATATTTGACCTTGAATAGACAAGGCCCATTTTACGCATAATTTTGGTGTAAAAAAATTAAAAGCCATTTAAAGTATATTTTGGATTGTGAGTTTGAGGCTTAAAAAATTGGAAAAAAATCCAAGGTTTTGTAAATTCGTGTAAAACAGGAGTAACACTTATAATTGATGCGTCTGAAGCTGAGTTACTTAATTTGGAGTTATTTGAGATTTTTTGATGATAAATTGTCTGCATTTAGACTTTATTGAGCTCAATCTGAATATAGGAAACAAGTTATATGTTGCATATATACTTCCAGTATTGAATAAAAAAAATTATAAAATGTGTAAAAAGTGGTTAAAATGCATCTTTTCCTTGAAATTGCCTTATTTTTGATTATATAAAATTTATATGGGGTTCATTTAAAAGTAAAAATCAAGAAGTCTCGATATGAAAGTGAAAAAAAGCTCATAATGACATAATAACAGTAACATCATGACTTCAACATTGTAGTTTTTCATGTTTTTTTTCAATGAACAAGACAGCAAAAACGAATCTGGCGTCCCCATATTATTTTCATATCAGTAACACTGAAATAGAAAATGTTCGTTGCAATAACATATTATTCTTAAAAGAAATTCCGATGACAGATTATCACTTTCAAGTGGAAGACCATTTATCACTACTTTTTAGAACTTTCTTCCATTTACAGATTTGTATCACACATTTTTTAATTGATCGTTTCTTTGGGACTATTAAG